GCCAAGAGGGTAAGAATACATTTTGACAGGCTGAGGTGACAGACTAGTAGAATTCCTTATCTGAACGGCTGCAACAGACAGTACTGTTAGAATATAGATATTCAGGCCTGCCTGCAAAGGCCTATACTTTAAGAACTTAGGTGTATGTTTATCACTTAGCTAGTTACAGGGGTATAAAAACAAAGGATCAAAATCACAGTCCTCCTATGTAAGGGCCTTCTCTCACTAGGATAGTCTGAGGCCTTGCTCTTAGGCTAAGGCCTTTGGCTAAGCAGCAGGGGCAACCTTAAAAGCTGGGAAGCATACAGTCACATCCTCACATCCCAAACCTTTCACATTGAATAAGGTGGTATCGGGCTATTAGGAAGACGATCCTGTCCTGACAGTGCCCATCACCACCAGATGAAGAAACAGTAAAGAAAACTGTTTGATAGCATCCTGTCTCGCAATAAATCATATATCAATGGTTGTGGCTGTGAAACAGTCATTTCCGTAGGGTTTTCTCTTTATGGCCCCCTCTTTTCTATTGTTAATCTGTCTGGTTCTCTAATTGTTTCTGTCTGCTGTATAATTAATTTTGCTAGGTGTAAGTTAATTAGGGTAGTGGGATATATTTGGTTAGAGAATTATGTTACAATATGTTAGGATTGGTTAGTTAAATTTCAGTAAAATGATTGGTTAAGGTATAGCTGAGAATATTACTATATAAACTGGGGTCAAACAGGAAGTGGAGGGGAAATTGGAATCATGTTTGATAAGGTGGGGGAATGGGAACAGGGACACAGGAAAGGCTCTGCAGCGTCCGAGCTGGGAAGGGGGACATAGAATCATAGAATATCAGGGTTGGAAGGGACCTCAGGAGGTCATCTAGTCCAGCCCCCTGCTCAAAAGCAGGACCAATCCCCAATTAAATCATCCCAGCCAGGGCTTTGTCAAGCCTGACCTTAAAAACCTCTAAGGAAGGAGATTCCACCACCTCCTTAGGCAACGCATTGCAGTGTTTCACCACCCTCCTAGTGAAAAAGTTTTTCCTAATATCCAACCTAAACCTTCCCCATTGCAACTTGAGACCATTACTCCTTGTCCTGTCCTCTTCTACCACTGAGAATAGTCTAGAACCATCCTCTCTGGAACCACCTCTCAGGTAGTTGAAAGCAGCTATCAAATCCTCCCTCATTCTTCTCTTCTGCAGACTAAACAATCCCAGTTCCCTCAGCCTCTCCTCATAACTCATGTGTTCCAGACCCCTAATCATTTTTGTTGCCCTTCGCTGGACTCTTTCCAATTTATCCACATCCTTCTTGTAGTGTGGGGCCCAAAACTGGACACAGTACTCCAGATGAGGCCTCACCAATGTCGAATAGAGGGGAACGATCACGTCCCTCGATCTGCTCGCTATGCCCCTACTTATACATCCCAAAATGCCATTGGCCTTCTTGGCAACAAGGGCACACTGCTGACTCATATCCAGCTTCTCGTCCACTAGGTCCTTTTCCGCAGAGCTGCTGCCTAGCCATTCGGTCCCTAGTCTGTAGCTGTGCAGGACTAAGTGGGTTCTTCCGTCCTAAGTGCAGGACCCTGCACTTATCCTTATTGAACCTCATCAGATTTCTTTTGGCCCAATCCTCCAATTTGTCTAGGTCCCTCTGTATCCTATCCCTGCCCTCCAGTATATCTACCACTCCTCCCAGTTTAGTATCATCTGCAAATTTGCTGAGAGTGCAATCCACACCATCCTCCAGATCATTTATGAAGATATTGAACAAAACCGGCCCCAGGACTGACCCCTGGGGCACTCCACTTGACACCGGCTGCCAACTAGACATGGAGCCATTGATCACTATCCGTTGAGCCCGACAATCTAGCCAACTTTCTACCCACCTTATAGTGCATTCATCCAGCCCACGCTTCTTTAACCTGCTGACAAGAATGCTGTGGGAGACAGTGTCAAAAGCTTTGCTAAAGTCAAGAAACAATACATCCACTGCTTTCCCTTCATACACAGAACCAGTAATCTCATCATAAAAGGCAATTAGATTAGTCAGGCATGACCTTCCCTTGGTGAATCCATGCTGACTGTTCCTGATCACTTTCCTCTCATGTAAGTGCTTCAGGATTGATTCTTTGAGGACTTGCTCCATGATTTTTCTGGGGAATGAAGTGAGGCTGACTGGCCTGTAGTTCCCAGGATCCTCCTTCTTCCCTTTTTTAAAGATTGGCACTACATTAGCCTTTTTCCAGTCATCCAGGACTTCCCCCGTTCGCCACGAGTTTTCAAAGATAATAGCCAACGGCTCTGCAATCACAGCCGCCAGTTCCTTTAGCACTCTCGGATGCAACTCGTCCGGCTCCATGGACTTGTGTACGACCAGCTTTTCTAAATAGTCCCTAACCACCTCTTTCTCCACAAAGGGCTGGCCATCTATTCCCCATGTTGTGATGCCCAGCGCAGCAGTCTGGGAGCTGACCTTGTTAGTGAAGACAGAGGCAAAAAAAGCATTGAGTACATTAGCTTTTTCCACATCCTCTGTCACTAGGTTGCCTCCCTCATTCATTAAGGGGTCCACACTTTCCTTGGCTTTCTTCTTGTTGCCAACATACCTGAAGAGAAACTTCTTGTTACTCTTAACATCTCTCGCTAGCTGCAGCTCCAGGTGCGATTTGGCCCTCCTGATTTCATTCCTACATGCCCGAGCAATATTTTTATACTCTTCCCTGGTCATATGTCCAGCCTTCCACTTCTTGTAAGCTTCTTTTTTATGTTTAAGATCCGCTATGTTTAAGATTTACATGGGGTAAATGCTCTGTGGCATCAGAGCTGGGAATGGAACACTGGGGAACAGACTATCAGAGACACACCCGACTGGTGTGAAGGGCTTTGGAATATGCTTGCTTGGAAACTAACCCCAATAAACATTGCATTGTCTGCATTTCTGACTTCTGGTCTTTTGCTGCTTGCCATCTGTCATGGAGCATGGGGGAGTTGGGGTCCGGCACCCCCCACTTCCTGCGATTCACTGTGACTCTCAGCCAGCCAGTAAAACAGAAGGTTTATTAGATGACAGGAGCACAGTCCAAAACAGAGCTTGTAGGTACAGAAAACAGGACCCCTCAGTCAGGTCCATCTTGGGAGGGTAGGGAGCCCAGCCCCAGTGCTGGGCCTCCCTCCATTTCCACAGCCAGCTCCAAACTGAGACTCCCTCCAGCCCCTTCTCTGGCCTTTGTCTCTTTCCCAGGGCCAGGAGGCCACCTGATCTCTTTGTTCTCCAACATCTTCAGTTGGCACCTTGCAGGGGAGGGGCCCAGGCCATCAGTTGCCAGGAGACAGAGTGTTGGCCATTCTCTGTGCAGACCGCATCACCCCTGCCCTCTAGGGCTCTGCAACAATCACACACCCTTATCCCACCACCTAGATCCTTAAGAAATGCATAGGGGAAACTGAGGTACCTACACAGTATTCAGAGAAAACATTAAGAACAGTCCCACTTCGTCACACTGTCTGCATGACAAGAACCAGGGAAGTGGGAAGGTGAAGGGAAAGCCCTCTAAGAAATACCATCAAGGGCAGAGGGTTTAATGCATCAGCAATTGGTTCTTGTGTTCCGAACACATCCCAAGTCAAAGCCACTTTTTGGCCTGACCTCTGGAGGCCCTTTGTTTACAACAGCAAACCACTTCCTACATCTGGTGATCTGCAACTTTCCAGTTCTGGTTAATTTCTGAGCAGATCATGATTGAGGGGCACTGGCAGAAGCTCAGGTCTGGAACACCTGGGGCAGATTAGCAACGTGAATGCAGCATAGGCAAGCTCTCTTCCCCTGTGCATAGCCAACCTCCTGCTAACACTATGGTATGGATGGCTCAGCAACTCCCACCAGTTATCAGCTGATATCAACCCCACCAAAGAGAACCCGACAACCCTCCCAGTGACTGACATTAATTCTGAAATGTAAAAGAGTAAGTCATTTCCCAACGCACCCTTAGTCTGAACCCAGGCCACTACCTGAGGCTGTGGAGCAGGACACAGGGAGAAGTACAGGATTTAACTAGCATGGAAAAGATTTTAAAAAAGGAGAGAAGTCCCAAGGAGCACGGATTGTACTAACTTGGGGTGCTGAAGATCCACTCTTAAAGCTCAATTGTGCCCCCTCCCCTAAAAAAAAAAACAAAAAAACCACAACATCTTGATGGGTTCACTTTCCTGGTGCTATTTCAGAAAGCTGGTATCAAAAATCCAGCAAAAAACTGCCTTCAGCTCTCTCTATGCTGCCCTCTGGGGCAAGTCCCCTGAACTAAGATTTGCTCCATTACATAGAAGCTTGGACTATATTGAATAAAATGTTGGGAATGCAATTCTGCTAAATGCTACCTGCATGCTCTGCCTGTACAATGGGGGCCAGGCAGCTATGCTATCCTGGCTGCCACATTGTAAGCTTTGCAGGGTTTGACACGAACAGCACTGTGGGAGGCCTCCAAGGAAAGTCTAGGCGCTGCACAAGCAACCTTGTTGATTTAGTATCAAAGATGACTTTCTGCTCAAAGGCAGCACTGAACCCCTGTCCAAATCAGCATGGGTCAGTGTGCTGGACAGGTGGGGGTGCTGCCTTACCAGGGATGCCAGTGTGATGTTTGCGTATCATGGTATGAAGCAACACCTGCCACGTGCAGAGTTGAGAGAAACCTCCTTCTACTCTCTCCAGAAATGCACACACCAGTTCCATGCACATTTCCTACTGCCTACTACCACCCTCTTCCTGTGCCCTACCCCCACCCTGACATGGCAGAGCAGTTCCGGGAGACGGAAGGGTGGAGGAAACGAAGGAGGCTGCACGTTGGTTTTTGACCTTATAACACAGGGCACAAGAGAACAGCTTTATAGGGGCTCTAGATTTGCTCGAATCTCTCTGAACTCACGCCTCAACCCAGCCTTCGTATCATAATTTTGCCTCTGTCCATTTACAGACTGAAGCATCCATCTCCTCCATTCTTCAACCACTTACCTAGCTGCAGCTTTGAACTTCTCCAAGAACTGAAGTCGCAAGCTCTCATGGCCTGGGAGGTCAATCAGCGTCACACTAGAGCCCTGTAAATGGACCAGAAGCAGTAACGGTTCCATCAATGTTTAATCCACAAATATGCATGATCATGCAGGCCTGGGTAATAAAATATGTAACAACAAGACACATGACAGTTCATCTTCTACAGCCAGACATGGCCTACACGGCAAACAAGACTGCTTTGTAGTTCCCCAGCCCCTTTTGGTATCATCATTTCTCCTACAGCATATGTGTCCCAAATCTCCCACTTATTTGCTGTTGATAGGCAGCCTCTATACATGAGTGTAAGAGGCCCCCATACCACCATCACAACTATCTCTCTCTTAGGCCAAGCTCCAGGCTGATTTAAACTGCTAGTTGAACCTTTCCCCACACACTTCATACGTTCTCAAGCATGGTCATGTTTTGTGTTGCTACAACTAGTTACAAGTAAGGCTAAGAGTTTGTCATGGATTCTGTGACTTTCCAGGACCTCCGTGACTTCTGCAGTGCCTCCTGCGGCTGCCCCAGGGGCTATCTGAGCAGCTCGGGCAGCCCCTGGGCCAACTGTACCAGCTACTACTGGGGCAGTCTCAGGCCACTGCACCCCCCTTCCCCAGCAGCAGCAGGGGTTTGGGTGTGGGAGGGGGCTCAGGGCTGGGGCACGGGAGAGGGCTGTGGGCGGCTCTTACCTCATGGAGGCTCCCCGGAAGCAACAACATCCCTTGGCTCCTAGGCAGAGGGGCCAGGCCACTCTATACACTGCTTCCGCCTGCAGGCACTGCCCCCACAGCACCCATTAGCTGCAGTTCCCGGCCAATGGAAGCTGCGGAGCCGGCACTTAGGGGAAAGGCAGCGTGCAGAGCTGCCTGGCTGCGCCTCCCCCTCTGCCTAGGAGCTGAGGGATGTCGCCACTTCCAGGGAGGCGCCGAGCAAGGTAGGAAGCCTGCCAGCAATGCCACCACTACCCGCGGCGCCGCCACTGCCCCCCACACCACCACCACCGACGGCGGCACTGCCACCCTCCCTGGCTCCCAGGGGGAGGGGGAACGCGGACAGGGGTTGGGGCTGAGGCTGGGGTCATCGCTGGGGGTGGGCATGGGGCTGGCGGGCAGGGGCAGAGATGGGTGCCGCTCCCTCCCTACCCCCGGTGAGGGCTGGCCTGGGCCCAACCATGCACCACTAAATATTCCTCAGCTTCCCTCTAGGGGAGCAAGCCCCACAGATTGGGGACCTCTGCCCTAAAATTTGTATAGGCCTTTCACACAAAAAGGAGAAAAATATATATATGTCTAAAAACAGAAAAATATGAGTATAAGTTTACAAATATTAGCAGCGTGAGGGTGGTGTAAGACTTAAATAACTAGACTTCAAGTTGAGAGCGTCCCTTGAACTCGGGGTTAAAGTTTTGCTGGAGATTTTTGTGGCTTCTTCTGGACCAGCCCCCTTTCCTCATGTGGTTCCATTCTCATGACTCCCGCCCCATTAGCACCATGCATACTTTATTTAGCTTATGAACACAGCTCTTAATAGCTAAATAATCCCCCAACCAACCTCCTTAAAAGACTGGAACAAATCTGTAGTTTCTAGATCAAGCCACTTTGAAGATACGCAAAAAGAAAAGGAGGACTTGTGGCACCTTAGAGACTAACAAATTTATTTGAGCATAAGCTTTCATGAGCTACAGCTCACTTCATCGGATGCCACAAGTACTCCTTTTCTTTTTGCGAATACAGACTAACACGGCTGCTACTCTGAAGATACGATGAGCCAAAGAAACTAAAAATATAAACTGACAACGGAATGAAACCCACTTGAGCTTCTCACACCTCCATTCCCTCTTTGCCCTTCCATCACGGATTTGTCCCAGCCCCTCTAGAAAGATTCTACTCCAGGTTAAGACCAACCGAGTGAAATTTTAGGCAGACTGGTTCCAGTTTTGGCAAAGCTTGGAGGAGGAGATACCAAATCAGATTGATAGCTTCCGCTTAACTACTGCGGAGACTAGTGCCTCTCTCTACAGAATCTGACTGTAATCAGCTGTAAATTCTAAGGCCACCAACTCACAACCAAACTCATCACATCCCAAGAGTTTTATGCAAAATCCAAACCAGTGTCTGCTTACCTTGTCATTACTGACTCTGTAAACAGCAGAGCTATCAGTTATGGAGGTCTGGGTGTTTCGGTAAGTGCCTGTTAACAGCTATTAAAAATAAAACAAGACAGAGGAAAATCAATCCTATTTCCAGGCTTCAGAGAAAATGGTTTTTCTACTCAGTGAAATTTCAGCAAAATGATGGAATTGTCTGTTTTAGGAAATGTTACACTGATTGTTTCCTATCATTCCAGGAACCGCCCAATCAATTAACATTGGCTGGCTTCATCTCCATGGAACACTTCCATCCCCCCAAATGAATGGCTCCAACACCAAGCCTAATTCAAAGCTGCCATTAATGCTTAATCACAGTCCAGAATGACATGCAATTACAATGCTGTAGGCAGTTTCTTCTCAAGAAAACACTAAACATTCTTTGCTCTGTATCCCAGCAGCCTTACTGAAAACAGAATAGGGACACTGAAGACTACCCAAGCAAACAAAAAGCAGCGTGTTGAGCTATAATTAACTTTTACTTATGTATGAACCAGTTGTTTAATCAGCCTGATTTCTAAAATCAGGGAAGAAACAACATTTAGAACAAGGTAATGGAAATACAGGAATATATAAGGAGATGAACTTAGCTTTGAGACTTCTTTTAACAAAAGAATAAAATATCATAGGTCTGATATTTGGCCCACTTTATAATCAAACATGTTTTAAAAAGGCATTTACAAAGTCATCATCATTTCCAGTTCTTTTCAAAACTGAATAAATAATGCACCAATTAGAAAAAAATAGGTTTTCTAATCTTCATGTTTCAAGGAGCATTTTGCAAACAAGAGGGAATAAAACAAAGTGCACCAGATCCTGCTTATTAGCAACCCCTCAGTGGCATGCAAAAAGTTGCCATTATCCAGCAGTTGCCAGTAAGTGGAAGGCACATTTGCAGGGCTGCAACCAGGGTAGGAAACGCTGGCCTGCGACTTGTAGGGCTGCAGCCAAGGAAATGTGCCTGCAGGCAGCAGGGCTGCAGCCCAGATGCTGGGACTTCTACAGTGAGTAGAGGCAGTGGGAATCCACAGAGCAGCACAGTACCTCAACTCTCCAGGGATTGCCAGTGCTTTCTTCCCTGGTGCAGCCTGGGGAGCACAAGGAGAGGTACTGTGAAGCTCTGGCACCTGGGCTGCAGCCAGAGGTGAAAGTAAGCCGGTACGGCACGGCACGGCACAGCGTACCGGTAAGAAAATGGCTGCTGGTACACAGCTGACCATGCCGGCAGGGCCACTGATTGGGGGGGGGGGGGGGGGGCGGGCGCGAGGGGAGGCAAAAGGGGCAGCTGTCCTGGGGCCCATGCCAGCGGCTAGAGCCCTGGCCAGTGCAGGCTGGGCAGCACCGAAGGGCTGGCTGGGGGAGTCTAGCCCCAACCCCGCCCCTTCCACCTGAGCCCCCCTGCCACCTTGCCCAGGACCCCGGCCGCCCTGCGTACCGGTAAGTCCATTAAGTTACTTTCACCCCTGGCTGCAGCTCCTTTCCCCAGCCTCCCCACACAGCCCTCAGCCCCTGACCTCCTGTGCAATCCCTGTGCACAGGCAGGCTTGCTGGGCTGCAGCCCCAGAAGGAAGCACTAGGAGCTGCAGGCAGGTTTGCTGGGCTGCAGCTAGAGAAGACCCGTTCCAGCACTTCCTTCCCCGGCTGCAGCTTGCAAACCTACCTGCAGCTGGAGCCTTCCTCCTAAAAAATTGTCCTTAATAAATATCTGAATCCCAGTAACCTTAAAGTCAATGCAACAGGGCTGATTCCCAACAAAATGATGTTATTAACTGGAAGTTGTTAACATCCAGGTTTCTATTAAGCAGAATCTACTATACTATACTTGCAAGTTTTAATTTAAAGAGAATTCTCCCCTTCCACAAATGCACCCAAACAGCCCATTAAAGGTTTGAAATGAAGAGCACGAGCCACTCAGCTTTCATTCGCCTTGAAAATCTCAGTGGCAGAAGTACTATAAAACACACAAGACCTTACTTACTCGGACAAACAGCAGTGTTTTTCCTGAATCACAAAGGCCTACCAGAAGCACGTTCCTCCGGCTGCTCTTCCTGCCCTGGATAAGTTTCCAAACCACTGTGGAAAGAGGAAAAATTATAGGATACCAGCATATGGCCAAGCGTGCATCCGTACAAACAATTTTTGGATCTGTAATTCGTCATTGGTGGAAGTATTAGTCTAGATACAGCTCAGATATCTTACCCCTTTTCGTCTAACCTTGCTCTGAGCATTACGGAGGTGCCATAGCATCTTCACAGGTAAGCTGGCTTTGAGTTTCTTACTGACGAGGTTTAATACTACCTGTTATAGATGAACAATTAATTAGCTAGAGTTAAAATTAAATAATACTCCCTTTAATTTTGCAAGTCCCACCACTTTTTCTCTAAATCTCTCTAGCTAACAAATGGTTCATACTAGCTTTTCTAAATTATCCATATAGCCAAACTTCACTGAAAACTCATGGACCACATCTGAGAATATTCAGCTGCAACAGAGCAAAGTTGACCAGGGATCCTAGTTTTCCATGATACAAAACCCAAAATTCTCCAATAATAAAAACAACAAAAATCTGCGTTTTTCCACAATTAAAATGAAACGCTGAACTTCAGTTTCCTGAGCCGATATATATACGTATCAGTTTGAACACGTTTTATTGATATACAATAGAACCCCTTTTATCCACGCCTCCTTTATCTGGCTCTTCATAGTAAGCGAGCCATCACTCACCAGGGGCTGACTGCCTGAACTCCCACCTCATCTTAAAATGAGGGATAGAAAGCTCTTTGCCAATTCTCCCGATTAGCCCAATTTCTGATTATCTGATCTGGCCCCAGTCCTAATTAGATCGGATAAATGGGATTCCGCTGTAAATTAAAAGCGCATTCAAAAATAAACCACAGGAGGGGGTGGTTGTGCGCACTGAATTTGTGACACTGGTACTTTCAGTAAGTTAGGGGGTTGGGGTACCGGGCCGGGGAGGCAGGCCAGGCGGTCTGTCGGGGCGGCAGGGGGAAGGCAGGCCGGGCCGCGCAGGACGTCCGGGGTACCGGCAGGGGAAGGCGGGCCGGGTAGGGAGTCGGGGAACCGGGCCGGGGTATCAGGCCGCGGTCACTCACGCAGGGTCAGGGCCACGGCCAGCAGCGCCAGTAGCACCGAGAGCAGGGTCGCGTCCGGCACCCGCAGCTCCCGCCGCAGCGAGTCCAGGTAGGGCTGCAGCCCGCTTCGCCTGTCGCCCTCCAGCGCCATCCCCGGCCCCGCGCTGAGAGCCACGTGTCCCTAGTCATGTCCTGCGCCGCGCCGCGCAGATGCATCATGGAAAACGTAGTTTCCGGGTCGCAACCGCCGACAGTCTCGCCACAAGGGCTCTCGGGAATTGTGGTCCTTTAGGGCCTTCTCTGGAGAGCCTCATGGGAGTTCTCTTTTTAGCCCTCTCCTGGCCTGGAGGGCGGTGCCCTGAGCCGGGGCCCCACAGAGTGTTGGTCCCTGCTACCGTTGCCTGGCCTGACCCAGTTTACCTCCCCACATTCCCCTGTGCAGGTCACAGGCAGAGAGGGTATCTTTCCAGGCCACTTCCACTCCTCTGAGCAGCCCAGGGCCCCTGTCGGGAGCCTCACTGTAGCGCCCATGGTGCCAGGGTTACCAGACGTCCGGGTTTCCCTGCACACGGCCTCTCCTCTGATCTCTGTCCTAGTGGATTTTTGAAATATACACGTCTGTGATTTTTCCTTTCTCCTCCTTTTTCCAACGTCAGTACTGGTAGAACTGCAAATCCCAGCATGCGTGTTTACCGGAGGCCGCCCTTACTTCTGCGCTGCTGCTGGCGGCAGCGCTGCCTTCAGAACTGGGCGGCTGGAGAGCAGCGGCTGTGGGCCGGGATTGACTGCCTGAGAAAAGGTACATTTAAATTTGATTTTCATTTGTTTTTGAGGTCATCACACTTGTTATTTATAAATATTCGATATTCAAATTAGAAAGGAACTACAGTAGAAACTATACTCCCCCTCCACCCAGCAGTGTCCTCTATTTGGGAACTTAAAATATGGTAATCCTACATGGTGTGAGAGCCCAGCCCTCCTCCCATGGAGCTCGTTGCACTGGGGGCCGTAGTCCGACTCTGCCAGGAGCCCAGCGCCATAGGTGGCTTTGCTAAGTGCAGTCACTCAGCAGTCTGCAAGCAATTGCTGCCAGACAGTCTGTAAAACTTTTAACAGCGACTTCTCTTTTTGTACCAGGGTCACTGGCAGTTATGCCTACCTCCTGCTCCCATGTAGGACAACCAGCATCGCCACCACATCAGGATTTTTCAATTTATAACGCCAAATAGTTCCAGACCATAGTGGGCCATTTCCCAAAGGCTTGACAAGATAGCAGTTCATGGATCACCACCAGAGTGACGTGCATGAGTTCCACAGCTAAACAGGCAGTTATATGGAGCACCGTGGGAGAAAGGAATCCGCCTGCTGCTGTGTTCTTGAATTCTACATATTACATAGTATATTCCGTACAAAAAATGGCATTAAGAGAAAATTATTAGCGTTGCAAAGTCAAGTACTCAAAGGTTAGGAAAGGTCAGGATTAAGGCTGCTTGGCAACTTGAATTGTGCCCCCTTGCGTATGTACATTATATTGTCTCTAATTACATGAGTATATACAGTAATATATTTTCCACAGGGCCACTACTAAATTGCCAGATATGTAATGAATTTTTGGATATAAATAATCCATTTGAAATTACTCACATTTGATGGTACTGTTTTTTAACACATAGGGCTTGCTCCTCTAAAAATAACAACTCAGCAAGCTGCTGCTAATAGAAGCTAAAATCATTAAGTACGGCTAAGATGTAAATTAGCAAAGCAGAGGCTACTCCCCATGTTTGCTCTCCAGCTCACTAACCCCTGTTCTCTCCATATTCAAACCAATAGTTTTCTTAATAAATATGTACATGGAGAGCTACAGCAAACAAGGGGTCCAAGTTACAAGCCTACTTCTGTTTCCAGTCAAGCAACTGCTGTACTCGAGTCAAGTGAGAGAGGTCCATGCAGTTAAAGCAGGGGTGGGCAAACTTTTTGGCCCGAGGGCCACAATGGGGTGCGAAACTGTATGGAGGGCTGGGTAGGGAAGGCTGTGCCTCCCCAAACAGCCTGGCCCCCACCCACTTCCCGCCTCCTGACTGCCCCCCTCAGAACCCCCGACCCATCCAACCCCCCTACTCCCTGTCCCCTGACTGCCCCGACCTCTGTCCACACCACTGCCCACTGACAGGCCCCCCGGGACTCCCACGCCCTATCCAACGCCCCTCCCCCTATTCCCCGTCCCGTGACCGCCCCCACCCCGAACCTCCGCCCCATCCAACCGCCCCCTGCTCCCTGTCCCCTGACTGTCCCCCGGGACTCTCTGCTCCTTATCCAACCCCCCTCCTCCCCGTTCCCTTACCAGGCCGCTCAGAGCAGCAGGAGCTCACAGCCCCACCGCCCAGACGGAGCCAGCCACACTGCCCGCACAGCGGCGTAGCTACAGGGGACAGCAGGGGAGGGGCCGGGGGCTAGCCTCCCCGGCCAGGAGCTCAAAGGCCAGGCAGGACGGTCCCTTGGACCGGATGTGGCCCGCGGGCTGTAGTTTGCCCACCTCTGAGTTAAAGCATCACGCGCTACTAATAAGATAAAAAGTGCCTGTCTGAGAATACACAGAGGCCTGAAAACATGCTGTCACTCTGCAAAGTAAAAACTGGCCACTTATGGTCTGATTTCAGTATTACTGACCTCAAAGCTTTCAAAAATGATGAGGCAGGGCCCTCCAAAAATCATGGAATGGGCTTAAAAATCTTGAGGTTTTTTTAAATAATAAATTATGGATTCTTTTTCTATGCCTTCTTTTGCACAGGCTTTAAAAGGCACACCTAAGCTTTTTCAAGTTTTTCTCTGCAAACATCAGACCTATACATTTTCTTTTTTTGTTAATGAAAGTTGAGGTTACTCTTCACACAGTCTCTTGACTGCAGCGGTTTGGGCTTTGGGGAAAACTCCAGCCAATCACAAGCGTTAGCAACACTGGCCCAGATCAGTGGAGACAACCAGGACATAAGATCCCTAAAAAAATCCCAAACTAGTGTTTAAATAATCCAAAGGGAACTCTGAAACTGAAGCCCCTGAATCAAATATCCTGTACTTTAAGAGCACTGCTATAAATTACAGATCAGCATCCTTGCTCAGCAAGTTAGCTTAACCTGACTGCACTTTGTAAGCCCCTTCAGGATTCAGCCTGAAGCAAGCTGGGCTGCACTAGAAATAACAAGTGTGCCACCCAGGGCAGGTGGAGGGTCCAGGGCTCCCCACAGTGGCCCAGTCTCCCTGGGTGGCTCTTACCATGGCCCCACTCTAGCTTCTGGCCTGGCCAGTGGGCGGGGCCTATGGGGAAGAGGAGGAGCAGGCGTGAGACTGGTGCTGCCTCTGAGCCTTAGACAGGTGCAGAGCTGGGACAAATACTGTCCTGGAGTCATTCAGACCAGGACTTGAACTCTGGATTTTGAGACTATCCCACCCAATTCAGGTCACCCTAAGCAGGTATGACCCTTAAATTTAATGGCTGTATGCTGACTGGCCAATAGATATGCTAAGGAGGTTGGCTGGAGCTGGGAGAAGATACTTCCTCCTACTTGTCTGCAGTGTTACTACCTCACACAACTTTTCACAAGTGAACCAGATTTTGGGAGGGCTTGGGCCCAGTCTGACGCTAAGAAGCCACAGCACCCTAGCAAATCTTAGCCCTGTGATTGGTGCCTGCCCCACTTGCCCATGCATCAGAACAACCAATCAGAGCTGCTGCAAGAAGGGGTTGGCTAATGTTCTCCTAGATTGGGGTGGGCAAACTTTTTGGCCCTAGGGCCACATTGGGTACAGAAATTGTGTGGAGGGCTGGGTAGAGAAGCCTGGGGGAGGCTTCTCCCTAAACAGTGAGGCATAGCCTGGCCCCTGCCCCCTATCCAGCCCCCCGGAACCCCGCCATCCAGCCCCCCCCGACTGCTCCCCGGGACTCCCACATCCTATCCAAACAGCCCTGCTCTCTGCCTCCTGACCATCCCCCCAGGACACCCGTCCCCTATCCAATCCCCCCTGCTCCCTACCCCCTGACCACCCCGTGGGCCCCCCCCGTCCCCTATCCAACCCTCCCTGCTCTCTCCACCACACGTTACCTGTGGGGTGGCGGAACAGGGGGCTCAGTCCTTTCCCCATGTGTTTCCCCTGTTCGTTCGGCTGCTCTCCCTGGCAGTTCAGCAGGCCTCGCTCCCTGTCTGGGCTTGGCTGCTGGGGACAGGGGCCAAGAATGCTGGGGGTGGAGGGGGGCCCTGGCTTGCTCTGACCCTGTCCCCGGCAGCGGGGCCCAGGCCCCTTGACCACCCCCCCTGCAACCGCCCCTGCTCCCCGCCCCTTGACCACGCCACCCAGGAGCACCATGTCTGGCGGCGCGATAGCCATGCCGTGCAGCTGGAGCTGCAGCCACACTGCCCAGGCGCTGGGGCAACTGTGACTCTGAGGGAGGCAGGGGGGAGGGAGCAGCAGGGGAGGGGCCAGAGGGAAGGGTCCTGTGGGCCGGATCGCGGGCTGTAGTTTGCCCCCCTCTTTCCTAGATGGAGCCTTCTCCCCACAGCTCGACTCTGACTTGGGTCAGTTTATCCCCTTGCTCTCTCCTCTGTGTCTCCCCCACTCTTCCTCCATTGTGAGTCCTTTTAAAACTCCTGCTTTGCATCTCTGTCATAGTCTGGTTGGGGAATTTTCCACTCTCTCCACTTCGCTGCCACCCTGTAAGCACAGTTCTGCCAGTGCCAACCTCAAGAGATCAAAAATCATGTCAGACCCCCCTCCCCAAAGTCACCAGACTGGCCCCCAAATCATGAGATTTCTTTTACAAGATGGTTTTGGTCTGTCTTTTGGTGTGTAAATTTCTCCCACCCATCCCCAGGGTGGGCTGCCCCATCTCCTATCTGCATTGGGTGAAGGGAGTCTGGGCTCTGCTGCAGATGCTCTCGCCCCACATCTGCCCAACAATTAACCTTGCCCACAACCTCCAAATCAATCTTGTCCTCCAAGTCCCCCAGGGGGTAGGGAGGAGGGAGTGGCCCTAACGGGCTGGGTTCTTCCTGTTCCCTTCTTCCCCCCTACCCCCGAGAATAGTGTCAGCTCCTGGGGTGGAGAAGTGCACTGCAGCAGAAGGATCCTGGACGGCCGTGGTGGGCTCTGATTCTAGCTCCCAGCTCTGGAGTGATGAGAAAACTGAGGTAGGGAAATGTGTGTAGGCTTTACTTTGTATAGATCTGTGTATTTCTTGTATGATTGAGTAAGGAGCAAAGAGTCCTGTCTGTGTGTTTCATGCATTGCACTATTCACGTAGCCCCTTGAAGAAGTAAACTGTAATCCAGAAGGCTCATACCATTGGATGGAGTTCTGGGAGAGAGCGGGTTGAAGCTGTTGAGGAGCCTGAGGGGTCAGTACCCACCGGGCAGTTGGACTGTGCAGTCTCGGCCCTCAGGAGGGGGTGCTAGATAGAGGATCGGCATCTCAAGAGTGTGCCTAGGGACCTGAAGATAGGGGCAGTGCCTGGGCTCTGTTCCAACTCTGGAGGCTGAAAGCACTCAGGGATTCGGTTGCTAGATCCCCACACAGCAGTCTGGGAGTAGCCAAGAGGGGCACTTGACTGGAGCTATGAGAGGCTGGTCAGACCATGCATTCTCTGAGAGAGTTGGTATATCAATACTTTGGAGATTTTAGCTGGTTGGATACAATTGACCTTCTGGAAAAGCACACAATCAAAATTTTCCATGCAGTGAACTATGTTTATTTGCTGCTTACAGGTGCCAACCTATTGCATCAGAAATGCTGGTCATGAAGCATTAATGGAAATTGCAGCTCAACATTTCTGACTGGTTCCACTTGGTATCTAAGGTTTAGTGCTGAATAAGCTCTATTGGTTTGGGTTATTCTGGGTATGTATTATTTGTTACCAGAGCAGCTGTATAGATGCGTTGTTCATGCTATCAAAGAAATATGATAGCACACCACACACTCTGAAAAATAAATATGTACATTTCTGTGAGGCCGTGTTTGTGTTTGAAAGCATTCTGTAATAGTTGAGATTCTGCAAATGCAAAGAAGAACTTCAAACTAAATCACAGCAAGCCCAATGTTAGACTCTGAGATTTTATTTCTTGCTCTGGTGACATCAGGGAGTCATAAATGTCATGAGAACAGGCTAGACACCTCTTTGGTGGTGAGTTAAAAGGGGGGAAAGAAACAGCAGCAGTGGGACCCCAGCTAGCTAGAGGTCAGTGCTGAGAACGCTACAAGGAATGAAGCTTCCAGATTTTTCCTCCCATGGTGAGGAGCTCCCGTTAATCTGATCAGTTCAAGTCACTGAAGCTGCAGACCTGGAGGAGTTCTGTAAGGGGAAGAGAACAGGCAGATTCAGATATTGCTGGCAGCTTGCTTAAACAGAAAATAAATACATCTCACATCCTACCAGCACAGATAACACTACAGTAACAATCTCTCATGTGGAAAACATACCCTAGGTTTACATGCACAAAGTGCTACAAAGAGCTCTCCCAACCCAGTCCCGACAGGAGTTCACTGTTGGGAATGGATCAGGGGCAGGCTGCTCAGAGCTACTCTGGCCATGTGTTCTCCAAGCACGAAGCACCATAGGAAATGGGGCAAGAGCGCTGGCTGGCTGGAGAGCTCACAGCAATATATTGTTTCCAGCTCTCTCTGGAAAACCGTTCCAGTTGGGGAATAAACTTTTTCATAATAAGTGGCCAGTGGACTGGATGGGCTCAAGGGACTTGTAAGAGGATTCTTGGGCACTGGTTCAAATCTGTGCCAGGTCAGCAGGGGCCAAGAGTCGCTACCATTCACTGAGCGGACAGTGGACTGTGTGAAACGAACTGGTGATCTCAGGCTAGATTCTTAGTGGACACGAGTCCACATCACAAAAGCTACCTTCCTTTCTTGGCTTCTCCTCTAATTTCCCTTTTTGTTGGCAATCTCAGAGGAGAGGCCAAGTACTGAATGGACGTGAAAAAGGAACTCGTCGTCTCTTCTCCTAAGACATAGTTTCTACAGAACAGGATTGAGCACATTGGCAGGGCAGGGAAGGTTGCATCACCACTTCTCATACTGTACCTATACTAGAGATAAATAACAGACCTTGGTGTCTGGTGATACCAATCCAGCATGGTTCAACAAAACATTTTTACACGAAAAAAAGATCTATTGATATCTTCATAAGTTGTTGCTTTCATTTTGCTTGGAAAACTGGACTGGGCAGTGACAGACATAACTCCCTCGAGCCCCAACTCCCCATGATCTTCATGTCTGTGTAGCAGAGAGATGCAGTTCATCTATTTCTCATCTGGGTTTGTTACAGTTACCTGATGGTGAGCACTGATTGAGACTAGAGACAGAATCAAAGTATTCTTTTCCCAGGTACTGCTCATAGGTTATTCCACTGGGGAGTTGAATCAGGCACGTGGTGGAATCCTTGAATAAAAGGTCCTTGGTTTCAGACTGAAACATCTGGAAGATATCTCTCTGAGATCCATTGCTTCCATACAATGCCTGAAATACAGGAGTGAATGGGTAAATGGACATAGATGAAAGCAAAGACTCAGCCTCATGCAAAGTCAGATCATCTGTAGGGTGCAAAGCTGGAGAAAAAGTTCTCTCACCATCAACAGAACAATGTAAAAAAAAATGTTTGCATACACTCCCAAAAGAACTTCCTTCTACAAGGATGGGAGGAGAGCAGAAGAATCCACAAAATCCAGTAGGGGCTTCACCATGCAGATTTACCTGGAAAGAGCTCAGATACCACAGTGTTGGGCAAGGTAGAAAACCCGAATACAGAGAGCAGGGACTGCAGTATGAAGCAGTGTACCACTACATGACTGATCTTAATCAGTTTTGGTCCTATAGAAATAGTGAAAGATCTCAAAATACATATTTTCCTCATGCAGAGGGTTGGATTCTCCGGTCTCACAAGTTCACTTTGAGGCTCAACTTAAGGTGGCCAGAGCTTCCCATAGGACAATTCCTCTTGTATACCAGGTGTGACGTTGCACCCCATAATGCTTTATAGAAATATGCTTATGAGTGTAAATATGACATAACAGGAATATGTTTTATGCTAGATATGCCATGTAACATATCTTTGCAAAGGTTATGTTCTACTGAATGTATTCATCCTATTTGTATGCATGTATCATTTTTATATCTGAAGTTATAAGCGTTGGCTCTGTGCTTGTATTTAAAGTGTTTGCTGTAGGACGCACATAAGGCAGATTTGGTCAACATAGTGTGAAGGGGTTGCTCAAGTAATTGGGAGTATTTAGCTAACAATGGACCTGGAGAGACATCAGTCCACATCTGAGCTTTCCTGGGAATGTTCAAATTAACGTGTAAACAATGGCGTCGGCCTGTAAAGAACTGAGTTGTGCATGGACATGTGACTTGCGCATGTGACTCCAAAACGCCATCTTGTAGCCGTGATTCTTCACAGGAGAACACTAGGGGTTTCCATCCACAAGAGAGAGACTATATAAGGCCCTGGGAAACCCCTCCATTTTGTCTTCAGCTGGCTCAGTGGATAGCCTCTCCACCCCAAAGAGATGCCTGAAAGAAACTGGAACATAGGACAGTAACTACGGGGTTGTGAGTGATTGCTGGACCCAGACTAGGAGCAAGTCTGTTAAAGAAGCTTATTGGAACATCTCTGAGGATGAGATTTACCTGCATTTATTTTCCTACCGTATTAGGCTTAGACTTGCATGTTTTTGTTTTATTTTGCTTGGTAATTTACTTCGTTCTGTCTGTTATTACTTGGAACCACATAAATCCTACTTTTTATATTTAATAAAATCACATTTTACTTATTAATTAACCCAGAGCAAGTATTAATACCTGGGGGAGCAAACAGCTGTGCATATCTCTCTATCAGTGTTATAGAGGGCGAGCAATTTATTAGTTTACCCTCTCTAAGCTTTATACAGAGTAAAATGGATTTGTTTGGGGTTTGGACCCCATTGAGAGCTGGGTATCTGGATGTTGGAGACAGGAGCACTTCTTAAGCTGTTTTCAGTTAAGCCTGCAGGTTTTAGGGGACGTGGTTTAGACCTGGGTCTGTGTTTGTAGCAGGCTAGCGTGTACCGAAGCCGGGCAGTGTACCGAAACTAGGCAGTGTACCGAAGTCCCAAGCTGCCAGGGGAAATAGGCTCGGGGTAGTCTCAACACATCAGGTGGCAGTCCTAAGGTGGTTTCTATGACCCAACCCGTCACAGCAGGAATCTCTGCCAGCAAAAGAGGAAGGTCCTGATCGCCTCTACTTTTCTTGCAATGGTATGAAAACTATTTGTGCATTTAGATTTCCAGTAGATGAGACAGAATATGGAAACAAGCTGCAACTGCGTGAAAAGTTTATATGGTTTGTGATGCCATAAAATATCTGACTTATGGCATCCTATGGGACTGGCACCAATGCCCACCAAAGTCAGTGGGAGACCTTTCATTAAATGCAGTGGGCTGTTTGGATGAAAAAATTCAGTGTGATAGACTGCCCCTCTTCTATTTAATTTGTAGCAGGACGGTCATCCACTCTCATGAATCCAAACACTGATACAGCCAACTGTCTGGATTTGAACAGGGAGTTGGACGTGCTGATAAGAGTTTCTAACACTGGTTTGTGTCACTTATGCATGACCTGTTATTGGTTCACTCTAAGTGCTAAGAGTGGAATATAAAAACAAGCTAAATAGATTTCTGCCCCAGTACTGACCTGTTGGTTTATCAGCATCTGACGGACAGCAGCTGCTCTGTCTGGACGTGTGACCACAGCATGGGCAGGAACTAGCGCCAGGTGGCATTTCTCGTATTTAGTAGGAGGGGCGCGACTTCCATCCAGGCACAGCAACTCGAATTGATCGCTTTTCAGCCCCTTTGCCCACTCAGCAGCATTATGTCCTTGAAAGAGAATTAGATGGAGGCTCTAGAGCTGTTTGACAGCACCAGGCTTTACTCTGAGTGTGGCTGCCCACGGGGGGTATCACTGGGAATGTCTGTGTGTGCTTGTACTTGGATACATGCACGTGTCTAGGAGATGTACTGACTAGAGCTCAGCAGGGAGCGGCTGGTGTGGGGGAGACTGTCAGGGAAATCTGGAGGATTTATTCAGACATCTTCTATTAATATTCATTCTACTAGAGGATGTGTCTAAATCCCCTAGGCTGGCTTGAAGACCATAGCCAGGACTTGTGAAAATGGGTATTGAACTCTCAGGTGTAGAGACAGTGACTGGCAGACTCTTTGACAGGCTGGCAGGAGCAAGAACCCTGCATGAAGCTGTTGAGTGGGAGTTGAGCTGACTGGGGCAGGTGTGGCTTTTTAATTGCACAAGGAACGAAGAGAAGGGGGATGATCCTGTGGTCAGAGAACTAGGGACAGAGACAGCCTGTCCCTGCAGGAAGCCCTGGGACCAAACACTCTTGGGGAGAAAGCCTGGACTGGGGTTTCTGTTCTATGGTTGTTGTTTGAGTGACCAGTAAAGTCATACCCCAGGAAAGGGGTAAGACTGACCTCAGATAGAACAGGCAGGCTTTATCTGGAGCAGGGTGAGCATGCCATCTGCTCCCTGACACCAGAGTAAGGTGAGCAGGACTTGGGCCATAGACTGCAGTGACCAGCCACTGGAGTCTGAAGCTAGCACTAGTGTGTGTGCCCACCCAAATCTGCAAATTTCTATCCCGGAGCAGATAATGAGGCTTTGCCCTTCTATGACCTGATCCGAAGCCCATTGAAGGCGATGGAAAGACTCCTATTGACTTCAGCTGGCTTTGGCGCAAGCCCTGAGAGCACAGTGGGATGGCGATGAGGGGAAGCAACGCTACTAGACCATGTGCTTCATCAGCAGCTAAGTCAGCATGGGGTATTCCCATCAGCATGATGAAATGCTCCCCTTCTCCACAGCCCTTTCTATTCTCTGTGCTTACTGACAGATCTAGTGCCTAGACCTTTACAGCCAGCCTGCCTGTACCATAGGTTTCATGAATATCCAGTCTAGTCATTTATGGAGTTTAATGTCAAGGTGAAGTAATTGCATACCATCGGTGTTCTCACTGACAATTGTGTGCTTAACAAAGGCCACGTCTCCCTTCTCAACCAGACACCTAACAAATACCAAGAGAGAAGACAATCAGGAGTTACAGGTGTTTGTGAATCATTGCCTTCCCTGCACATCTGCTGTTGATACGGTAAACATCTGATGAAGTGAGCTGTAGCTCACGAAAGCTCATGCTCAAATAAATTGGTTAGTCTCTAAGGTGCCACAAGTACTCCTTTTCTTTTTGTCATCTTTTGTAACCTGAATCTGTGAGCATTTTTAGCTCTGTTAGAACTGACACAGAATTGACAAGGACAGTTAAAATGTAACCTTTTACCACCAGCAATGTGCGGAGTCCAGTGTGCATTTCACCACTGACCCTTTTTAATTTAACAGAAAATGTAAGCTTATTCAATGAATAAGAAGCTTGTGTGCTGTTGTCATGGGCGGCGAGTTCTATGGGCCCATGGTGCCTGGGCCCCAGGCATATTCCTCCTTCCCAGGCACCACAGGCCCAGCTCCAGCACTGGTCTCTCCCTCGGCCCTGCCTTCTGCCCCTGGGCGCCCCCCCCCCCGCCCCAGCGCATCCCCCAGGTGATTTAAAACAGCCCGGGGCCCCCACTCACCATTGGCAGCGCAGCGGAGCTGAGCAGCTTCCTACCTGCTCGCTCCATGTGGCTGCCGGCCCCTCCCTGCGGCCCCTGGGCAGGGTGGGTCTGTGTTCTGCCCCAAGCGCCACTGCAGCCAAACTCCCTCCCAGAGCCTGCACCCCCACCCCCAGCCCAGAGGCTGCACCCAAACTCCATCCCAGAGCCTGCACCCCCACCCCCTTCCCACACACCCCTCCTGCCCCCAAACTCCCTCCCAGAGCCTGCACCCCCACCCCTTTCCGACATACCCTCTCCCACCCCCAAACTCCCTCCCAGAACCTGCACCCCAGACCCCCTCCCCCACCCAAACTCACTCCCAGAGCTCAACCTCTCACCCGTCCTGCACCCCAATCCTCTGCTCCAGCCCAGGGCCTGCACCCCAGACCTCCTCCCCCCCATCCAAACTCCTTCCCAGAGCCTTAGGCAGGTGGGGGGCAGTGTTTGGGAGGGGCGGGCTCTGGGCATTCTGGGCACCACCAAAATTTCTACAAACCTGCTGTCCCTGGCTGTTGTTAATTATTATTATTTATTTTATTTATTTTCTTGTTGCATGACTCAATTTGCTACCCTCAAAATCCTTGTAATTTCTGTCAGCGAGGATCCTGGCTGTACATTTCAATAGCGATAGCCTGTGAAAGGTGGATCTTACACCAAAACTACTGCGAGCCGTGAAGCACTGCTGCATTGGGTCATTTCTTTACCAGTAGGGAGTGAAACACCATTAATTGCCCGGCAAGGCTCATATCAGCACAAGCTACTTAGTCCTGAGCTGTTGGAGGGGTGCCAAGGAGCTGGCCCCCTAGGTTCTCCTTTGGGATCATTCAACAGAGTTCAAGGGAAGATTTTACAGATGCGTTCCTGTTCTCCCTTTCAGTTAAAGGGTAAGATCTAGTGACCCTGCCCTGTGGGAAGTCTAAAGTTCCAGCCCCATCTGTTTTCGCTCCTCCTGCTCCTGAAGGAGCAGCACTGATGGGCTTTGCAGAGAGTTATGAGGAGAAAGATGGTGTCTGCATTGAGGGGCCTGGAGGGAAGAGGAAATTAGAGTGAGGGGAAAGAGGGTAGGATTCTCAGGGCTCTGTCAGCAGGGGCAGGGCTCTCAGTCCATCACCGCCCAAGGAGCACCTAGTATTATATTGGAGTCACCTACCGGAAGGCCCCGCTGTATCCATAGTATCTCTCATTGCTGTTGGCGGCACACTTGTAATTTGGTGGGAGGCTGCTGCCTGAGCCCACACACAAGTTGCAGAGTGGTGAGGTAAGTGGAGATCCAGGAGCACAGCCTTCACTGAAGAACTTATCTGCCAGGAGAAATATAGAACACCTGTTGTATATTTCCTCTCTGGCTCTTGCTTTTCTCTATCCCTTAGTGAGAATCTTCATATGATTCATCATTGTTAGGCCTTGAAGTAATTTAAATTAGTTGAAAAGAAAACTAAAACCTCTTTAAAAGACTGAGGAGGCATTTCCTTAGAAACCATCAGTTCCTGTGCTGCACGTGTACAAAGTGAAGTTATGGACAGAGAAACTCACAATAAGAAACAGGCACATCTCTGCTGTGGGCAGCAAATCGTGTGCACCAGTTTTTCAGCATGAGACTCAAAGCCAATGACAGGAAATTTGGAAATAAGTATTATTTGTTTTGCAGTCGTGGCCCAGGACCCCACTGATCTAGGTGCTGTACAGACACTGAGCAAAAAGACAGTCCCTGCCCCCAAAGAGTTTACAATCTAGGCAATATCTTCAACCTAAGAAATGGCAGAGGCTGCATAAGGGAAACATTGTGAACTGGGATCACTGTCAATATGGGTCAGGGTTTGATCCAACAACCTTCACAGCAGGAAGACAGATTTTGCTACTTTGGTCCAGACCGGGGCTCTATCTAGTCCAGCAGCCTGTCTCCAACCATAGCTGGTACCAGCTGTTCTAGAAGAAAGTGCAAGAAACCCAATTTCTGCCCAAGCCCTTGTCTTTTTCATCCTGGCTATTAGAACTCTAGATGGGCTTGTTATCCCTACAAATGACCATTGCTTGTTTCATGTTCAATAACATCTGCTAAAGAAACAGACTGACATGCCACGTCCAACTGCTGCTCCATCAGGGTAAGAAATACTCAAGTCCATCTCAGGGAAATGTGGCTCCTTGAAACCTTTAACAAAGCAGCATTTCCCATGTGCTAGTGCCCAGCCAGCATCTGGGAGCCACCAGAGACTCGAAGACCAGACAAGAGCTGTGGGATGAGGCTCTTGCTCTCCAGCACTGGCCTACCTGATGTCTGTACTGGGGACATGGATACACACAGTCGCTGTGAGAAGTTGATACACAAGTTGACTCACCAAAGTCGCAGCTCCCGGTTTTACTGTGAATCAAGCCCATGGGGACGTTCCAGCCGGCAGTTCTCCCAACAGCTGTATGACAGGACTTCTTACCACGCAGGGTCTTCCAGGTGATATTGGGGTTGGATTTCTTCACCACAGCCACGGCGTAATATGTTACTGTCACAGAGCAGAAGGAAAAGGAAGTGAATCAGGAGAGTCAAACCTGAACCAGAATGGACATCCAAGGTTCCAGAATTCTTTTCATCCTTCCTATTCATAGAGAGGATCTACAAATGGGAACAACAAGAATACTGTGTCCTCCTACAGCCTATCCACCCCAGGATACAGAGGGCTTTGCATGTGTGATGCATTTAGCCCCACAATTCCCCTCTGGTAGTATCCCCATTATTTTTCTCCCCACAGAAATTGAGGCACTAGGTCATTAAATGATTTGCCTACAGTCACACAGGAAGTCTGTGTCAGGGCCAGGGATATAGCATATGCCTTCTGATTTCCAATCCTGCCCCTTGACTACAAGACCATCCTGCCTCTCTGTTTGGGGGAATATTTCGACTAAAGCCTATTTTCTAGTACTGTATCCCAGGCCTTCTGTCCCTGTGGTAGATCCTGGTGTAATGTGTTGGCACAGATCCAGCTGGCCACACATCCACCATTCTGCTAACAATGAAGATCCAGCTGAGTACAACTCAGCAATATACTGGAGCAGACAGACTCCAATAGGGTGACCAGACAGCAAGTGTGAAAAATCGGGATGGGGTGGGGGGTAATAGGAGCCTATATAAGAAAAAGACCCCAAAATCGGGACTGTCCCTATAAAATTGGGACATCTCGTCACCCTAGACTCCAATGCCTGAGCTCTCCGAGGGCTGAACACCCCAATTTCCCACTACACAGCCTTCTATTTCTGATCCCTTTCAGGCCACCTGCTCCCATGGGGGGAAGGGTTCAGGAACTGGCCGTGATGTGTCTGTGTTGAGGAGACCCCAGAAACTGGTATTTGAGTGGGGGCTCCCCTCCCTTTCCAGGTTCGAAGCCTGTGGAAAAGGTTTTTTCTCTCCTGCTCCCTTAAGGACAAATGGCCCATGGTCCACAATAAGACAGAGGAAAGGTTGATGTGTTCCTTAAAAGCCAACATCATGTTTATTCAGTGCTCCTGACAGCTCTGGATCTAAAGTCCCTGCTTATCCTGAGACCTGGCACCGCACAAGCTGCTGTGGTGAATGCTTCCCTGCCAGGCCACTAGGAACTGGTCTGAACCTGGCAAACCCATGTCATGTAGGTCAGTGAACAGGCAGCAGACAATAACACCATCTGTGCTACTGATGTGATTTGATCAGTGACCTAGTGGTAGCAAGCACTATCCCATTAGCAATTCCTGGAGATATTCAGTTCCCCTAGAGGGGTTTTTGTTGAATAACATGAAATCAGACTTTCTAGATATCATAAGAGAACTTGGGTTGCTTTCTGTACATGAGGCTCCTCTAAAGATTTCCCCCTCATTCACCCCTCCTTGGGCCAGCAGCAAGGTTTGAACCCAAGACCTTCAGTGTTAAAAGTCTGAACCTCTACAACTCGAGCTAATGGACTACCCAGATGTAGGTTCAAAACCCCCTATGGATCAGCCAGTGTGGGGAGGGGGGCGCGGGGATGTGTAATACACTCTGAACAGTGGTTACCACAAATGTTCATTTGAACACAGGAATTGCCATCCTAGAACAGATCATCTAGTCTGCTCTAGTCTGTGATCCAGGCTAGTACAAGATGTTTCAGAGGAAGACAACAAAAATCCTGCATAATCCACCTGGCCAGTTGGGCAATATTATATCAAGGGGTAAATCTCTTCCTGACCCCATTTCTTTACATTCTTTGGATAATTTAACTTGTTCCCTTCAGTATGTACTACCTTGACCTTTCTTTTCTTTTGTATTTTATCTGAGATCATGTTGTCAAATTGATTAGTTTGGGTAGGTCCTTATGTCGTTCCTCTCTGTGCTCCTTAATCTAAATAATTGAGGGCCATTAGCAAACTTTCCCCTTTACTACTGGATCTGCATACCAAATCATTACTAAATACACTGGACACAAAGGTCCCCATAGCCATCTTTGTGGTGAACGTTGGCCATTTATTCCTAACCCTTAGCTTTCTGTTTCTTGACCAATTTATTTTTTCAGTTTACTCTAGGTCAGGATTTTATCTTCTGCCCCTCTGTTACCAGTAATTACCTCTGGGTGCTCCTTCTTTCTTGCATTGTTTAATGTCACCTGAAATGGGAAAGAGGAGGAGATTTCAGATAGAGAGCTCTTGAAAAGCAAGTGTGCACTTAATGCTAAAAATAGGTTGTCCTGGCACTGTGTATATACCTAGCTCTGTAAGGATTCTGTTCACAGCAGTGGTTTCTCTGTGGGGCTGCTGGCAAGTTACTTTCTGAAGAAGCCTTAATACAGAAGGGGACAGGAGTAGCTGGTCTAACATCTAGCACATTAGCAGAACAAAGCATTGCCCTACTCCCCTTCTGGGGCAACAACTCAGTAGACGAGACTGGAGCTGGAGGCTAGAAGACAATAACTTAATGATTGTTAGGAATTCTGTGAATAAGGGTTGTTCAAGACAGGCAAAACCAGCTGTCATTGACCTTTCTTGTAGATCCCAGACAGCCTCTCCACATTTGGATTGCTGGCAGGGAGGGACCCTGCGTCATCTGGAACTGGCCACCTAGGAATACCTTGATACAGGGCGGATGTTCCCTGAGGGATAGAGCCAATGGAGCAGCCCCATGCCATCCCCTCCGCACAGCCCCCAAGGCTGGGGTTTTCCAGGGGATGGAGGGACGTGTCAGAAGCAGGAAGGGTGCGGCTAGAGAACCCTGCTCCAGCCATTAAGGGAATGCTCTAGCTTATGCCCAGAACCACTCCTGTCCAAATCTGCCTTCGGCATCCAAGTGGTGCAGTGATTTAAAGCCCTTTTGCCCCCACACCTCCACTCATTTCCTGGATCAAGCTAATTGTGACCAGAATCAGGACCACTGACTTATCATAGTTCAATGTAAAATAAAGTCTTCTGATATCAATTAATTCCCCATCAAGAACAAGCTAAAAGGCAGATTGCACCTCACTCACCCTCGTAGTATTCTCCCATGACTGGCACCAAACCACATTTACCAGCCGTGTAGACGTAACCTCCATCCAAGCTTATGGCATCAGCATCACCTTTCTGCAATGAAAGTAACTCATCAAATATGAAGTGAAGCTACTTCTCATGCAGCCTCCCCCTGCCAGAGATGAAGCCTTTAAAAAAATTGCTGTCACGAAAGAGACGGGTAGTATAAGTAGCTTACATTTTACAATGAAGATTGACGTTGACTCGGAAAATGAAAAGTTAGAAAATATCAAAATGTTCTGACAATTTGTAAACTTTAAAAAAAAATCAAGTTCAGAAATTCGTCAGAACTGACCCTTTCCAGGAAAAGGTTTCAGTTTCAACAAATTGGCCTTTTCCAATGAAAAATTGTTTCATTGAAACATTCCTGACCAGTGCAGCTCAAAGACAGAGAGAGGAAATTGTTCTCTGAGCTGGCAGGGGCATGGAGAGAACAGTGGGAAAACGAAAAGCCCATACTGTTATCTTGGCAATGCAGTCCTCTGTGGTTTCTCCCACCGCACAGTCCAGGCTGCCTTCGCTCACTGCACTCCATTCATCACACTTGGCCTTCTCATCCTTACTTATTGTGCACCACTTCACCTTTTTCAAAGGGGCTTCAGGAGTTTCTAGGGAAGAAACTGACGTAGAAAGAATAAGCCAAAAGCTTATCTAAAATGTAAAGCCACCAACTGACTGACTGCAGGAAGAGCAGGGCTGCTGACAGCAGGTCATTGTGCACAGAAGCTCCCTACAGCTCCATTCAAAATAGTCTTGTTGTTTGACAAATGCTGGACTAGTGGAGTGCAGAATATGCAGGAAAGGGAGGTCAGTTGGCTGGGTCTGGTTCTCACTGGACAGGGGATGCTTCAAAATCAACAGAGAGGCTTAGATTTTAAGGCCAGAAGGGACCATTAGGTCATCTCGTCTGACCTCCTGTGTAGCCCTGGCCAGAGAATTTCACCCAGTTACCCCTGTCTTGAGGCCAATAATGTGTGTTGGACCAAAGCATCTTCCAGAGAGGCCACTAGTCTTGGTCTGAAGACAGCAAGAGATGGACACTCCACCACTTGCCTTAGCTTCACTTAGCTCTACTGATTTGTGTCAGCTCAGAATCTGGTCCCAGGCTTCATGACCTCAGGGTCACTTAGCATTGGTGGTGCTGTGCATTGCTATGTGAGAGACCAATGTTCTTCTCAGCACAGCCCCAGCCTCTCACTCCCCAGCCCAGCCAGGTTGGGAGTTGAGCTGGGCGAAGTTTCTTGGCTGAGTAGTTTATTTGCTTAAAAAAAAAAAAAGCAGTTTTGGGTGGACAGAAAGCATTTGTGAACATGGGTCGAATTTGGTTAATTGTTTTACCTCCTGCACTAAAATAATATAAATAAGTGTCAGAGAAGTCTAAATATTTTGTTTGGCATTTTTAAAACTAAATGTTCAAAGACTACATTTAATTTGAATTGAAATGGTTTGTTTCAATCTGAAATGATTTCTTTTGGTTTGATTTTTGATTTTCCCTAAAAAAATGTTAGCCCCATGTGATCCAGACATCCAGTCAAAATGGCCCAATATTTTACTATGAGATATTCCCCATGAGCTGTCCCTGAACGAACAACAGAGCAGGAACAATTGACAGCAAACATCTGACAAATAATTCTGGATTGCAAATAAATGTGAGAAAATTGCCTCATTCCCCCAAACAGATTTACTCTTCGACTCTCCAAATGTTTCCGTAACTGATTCTTGGTGTGTCCCTAGTTCAGGAGCAGGTCATGGGAACCATCACCTGCCCATTGCACAAAGTGCCCCAGAGGTGACGCTCCTGAATCTGTGCAGAATGGTTCTCCCAGCCGCGGTGCAGAGGCAGGGTGGCCAGCCCCAGGGAGATCTCATGTCGCTCTACGGTAGCCCCACTGACTGGTGAGGGAGTGTCGTTAACAGGGGCGGAAGGGAGACCCAGTGTGGTGGGAAAGGTGATGTAGGCAAAGCAAAGCCAAAGGGCAGCGGGTGTCCCCACGATACAGGAGACCCCAGGAACAAATGGCTGGGCTGGTAATTAGGACATTGACCCCCACCACCCTCACCGCATTGCTGGAGGGTCAGGGATCCCTGTGCTCAGTGTGCCCTGTGTTACACGGCACTTATGGCCCAGCGCACACGGCAGCACAGGAGCCTGAGGGGGAGAACCCCCCACCCCCATGTTGCTGAGCAGCATCCTGCCCCTTCGGGAGACAAAGGGCTGTGTTCCTGGACCCCATTGCTGGGCTGCTAGCAGGAGAGGGATGAGAAATGGGCGACGCCAAGGCTCCCCCCTGCCCCCACCCCACCCCACCAAGTCGCGCAGCTGAGCTGCCTGGGGAAGGGGGTTGGGAGGTGCCTGCTTGGTCAGGGCCCATAGCCAGTGAATAGCCCCTGGAACAAGCGGGAGAGGACAGAGAAAGAAATGTGTCTCCCTGCTGCCTGATTCTTCCTCTTGGTGTTTCTGGGGCTGTGTGCTATATTCCGAGTGGGGCGTTTTGTGCTGGACCCAGAATGCTGCGAGAGCAGAGAGACACCAAACTACTGCTCGTTAATGACAATGCAGCTCAATGGCACCTGGGAGTCTGATCCCTGGGCCACAAGAATTTGCATTCAAACAGATCCAGTCGTGGCAATGCCAATTGTATATTGAACTCGCACTGCAGAGCACAACCCATGCAGCTCGATCCAGCTCTCATTTACACCCTGATACAGCTCAGAGCTGTGTTAATTTCAAAGTGAATGAAGTCAATGTAGTTGCTTTGCTTTATGAGCAGGATCTGAGCCATGGCTTCCTTATGGACCCTCCCGCAGCTTAAAATTTCATGACCACCTGCCATGGAGCCCAATCTCTGCTTACCTGGCCTGAGACTCTGAATAGCAGCCCAGTACTGGTAGCCCAGGTAGAACTGGGAATCCATCAGTCGAGGGACACGCTTAAAATTGGAAGCAGTGTCCTTAAAAAGCAGATCCTTCCCATGAGGAGAGCTGAAGAGTTTGAAGCTCTCTTTTGTGTTCTTGCCATACTTTGCCTGTCACAGAGGAGAAATGATCAGGTGTATACCAAGAGCAGGAGATAGTTTTGAAAAAGTGGAGAGAACAAACAAAAGAGGGATAATAGCAAAAGAAAGGCTGGAACAGAGAGAAAGATAGAGAACGGGAAGGAAAGCAATACCTCCGCCTGAGAGAGGAAGCTCCAGATCTCATCAGCCCGGCCATCAACACTTCGAGCCACAACAGCATGAGCAGCAACTTTGGCCCAGTGACACTCATGATACTTATCTACAGGCTTCCGGGAACCATCTTCACACAGCAGCTCATACTTGTCTTTCCCACTTGGGTCATTTTCTGGGAGGAATGGAAGTCCACAGGTTACAGCAACACCAATATTTAAAAGGGCTTTGAATACCCCACTTCAGGAAACTCCCCAATGATTTTTGACCCTGAATGAGAACCAGAAGCGTGACAACTTCCATGAGACAAACTTCCCTCCCTGCAGGAAGTATTATTATCATCCCAATTTCACAGCTAGAGATCTGAAGCCAAGAGAGATGAAGGCCCAGATCCACAAAGGGACTTAGACATCTAGAAATCCACAAAGCCTGTGCTTTCACTGTGTGATTTCAATGTGCTGGTGTGATTTCACTGTGCACATCAAAGAAGCAACATACAAACTGGTCCCCACTCTAGTAGCCTTGTTCAGCCACAAGAAAGAGCCATTAGACTAAGAGGTGAAATCTAATCTCTCTCTGATGATTATTTAGCAGTCAGGATCACAGCATACAAATCATATTTCCTCCCAGAGACAAAGAGAAAAGAGGCTTAGGATAAACGGGGAGAGAAATGAAGGCAGGTGCAATATAGACAGAATTCAAGGATAGAGTCCCAGTGAAAGGCCTGACCAGAAAGTGGTGAAATGGAATGATCCCCCATGCCTACCTAGAACAGTTGTGTGTTTGACAAAAGCTACATCTCCACCTCCATCTTTCAGACACCTGGAGGGGGAAAGAAAGCAGAAGGAAAAGGAGGACACTGAAATACTGTGTTTGTTGCTAATCTCATATCATCCCTCTACATTTCAGACAACTACCTTTGAAACAAGCCTCAGATACGTGACAGTTTGTCTTCACAAAAAGCCATGCGGGCTGCAGAAAGAAATGCAATGGCAGGGAAGAATTTTATAATGCAAATCATCAGGAGTAGCCCAATGATAATGCTCTGTACTGCCATGTGCAATTTATAGCTCAATTGCCGGTCACTCACTAACTGCTTATAGAGGCTAGGAGCTATCGTAGGCCACATACTCAACCCTGGAGAAGGGGTGCTTCTTCCATAAGAACATAAAAATGGCCCTACTGGGTCAGAGCAAAGGTCCATCTAGCCCAATATCCTGTCTTCTGACAGTGGCCAGTGCCAGGTGCCCCAGAGGGAATGAACAGAACAGGTAATCATCAAGTGATACATCCCCTGTCGCTCATTCCCAGCTTCTGGCAAACAGAAGCTAGGGACACCATTCCTGCCCATCTTGGCTAATAGCCATTGATGGACCTATCCTTCATGAATTTATCTAGTTCTTTTCTTAACCCTGTTATGGTCTTGGCCTTCACAATATCCTCTGGCAAGGAGTTCCACAGGTTGACTGTGCATTGTGGGAAGAAATACTTCCTTTTATTTGTTTTAAACCTGCTGCCTATTGATTTATTTGGTAACCCTGAGTTCTTGTGTTATGAGAAGTAGTAAACAACACTTCCTTATCTACTTTCTCTACACCAGTCATGATTTTATGGACCTAAATCATATCTCCCCTTAGCCATCTCTTTTCCAAGCTGAAAAGTCCCAGTCTTATTAATAAAAAGAAAAGGAGTACTTGTGGCACCTTAGAGACTAACAAATTTATATGAGCATAAGCTTTCGTGAGCTACAGCTGTAAAGGTGCCACAAGTACTCCTTTTCTTTTTGCGATTACAGACTAACACGGCTGTTACTCTGAAACCAGTCTTATTAATCTCTCCTCATACGGAAGCCATTCCATACCCCTAATCATTTTTGTTGCCCTTTTCTGAACCTTTTCCAATTCCAATATATATTTTTTGAGATGGGGCGACCACATCTGCACACAGTATTCAAGATGTGGGCATACCATAGATTTATATAGAGGCAACATGATATTTTCTATCCTATTATCTATCCCTTTCTTAATTATTCCCTGCATTCTGTTCATTTTTTTGACTGCCACGGCACACTGAGTGGATGTTTTCAGAGAACTATCCACAATGACTCCAAGATCTCTTTCTTGAGTGATAACAGCCAATTTAGACCTCAACATTTTATATGTATAGTTGGGATTATGCTTTCCAATGTGCATTACTTTGCATTTATCAACATTAAATTTCATCTGCCATTTTGTTGCCCAGTCACCCAGTTTTGAGAGGTCCTTTTGTAGCTCTTCGCAGTCTGCCTGGGTCTTAACTATCTTTAGTAATTTTGTACCATTGGCAAATTTTGCCACCTCACTGTTTATCCCTTTTTCCAGATCATTTATGAATATGTTGAATAGGACTGGTTCCAGAACAGACCCCTGGGGAACACCATTGTTTACCTCTCTCCATTCTGAAAACTGACCATTTATACCTACCCTTTGTTTCCTATCTTTTAACCAGTTACCAGTCCATGAGAGCACCTTCCTCTTATCCCGTGGCAGCTTACTTTGCATAAGAGCCTTTGGTGAGGGCCCTTGTCAAAGGCTTTCTGAAAATCTAAGTACACTATATCCACTGGATGCCCTTGGTCCACATGCTCGTTGACCCCTCAAAGAATTCTAGTAGATTGGTGAGGCATGATTTCCCTTTACTAAAACCATGTTGACTTCCTCAACAAATTATGTTCCTCTACATGTCTGACAATATTGTTCTTTATTATAGTTTCAACCAGTTTGCCCAGTACTGAAGTCAGGCTTACAGGTCTGTAATTGCTGGGATCACCTCTGGAGCCCTTTTTAATTCCATTGAGGCCCATTACTCAACAGAAACCAATGAGACAATTAGGTCCCAACTACTCTACAAGTGTAGCCATGTCAGGAGACCCAGTTATAGTGCAGCTGAAAACATGTGTGTGGAACAGATAGTTACCAGATAAAAATAACTTTCACTTACTTAAAGGCTCCAGAATAGCCAGAATAAGGCCCAGTACGGGAACATTTCGGATCAAGGCATAAGCGGCACAGATTTGGTTCATTTGCGGGGGCACCAGGGACGCAGCTGGCTGAGAAAAACTGGGCCACAGCTATGGAAAAACACATGCAGTAGTTAATAGCAAACTCACCCTTTAGCAAACTATCTTCTCCCAGCTGTGGATGCTTGGTATAGTAGTATGGGGTGTTTGGAGGAGGTAGTGGGGGGAGAGTGTCTGTAACCTGATGCCTTTGGAAGGGGTGGTTTGGTAAAGGGGATGCTGGAAGGATGGCATCTCCAGCTGGGCAGAGTGAAGGTTCTGGCATGTGGTCTGCTGTGCGTGGCAGTGGTGCATGGTGTTTGTGTGTGGAGGAGTAGAGGTGCCTTAAACTTTCCAGTTCCTTGGGTTTGTGTCAGGATGGCGTATTACATCGGTAGCAACTTTAACCATTGCACAACGGAGTTTTTGGAGTGTGACTGAGTAGAAGATAATGGATTCCAAAGCAAGGAAGCTGTTGCTGTCATGGAAATGCCCTGATTGATGGAAGAAGAGAAATTTAGGAAATGTGGATGGTTCCGTTGGTTTGCTGGTTTCCCCAAAAGTTCCTCAGAAAATCTACTTCCTTCTCCCTAACACTGATCAATCCCAGTTCTCCTCAACCCCAGCTTAATGTTAGCATTCCCTACTCACCTAGCTCTTTCCCAGCTTACCGTGGGTTATGGGAGTGGCTCTATCCCAGGATAGGATTTTACGGTACAAGAGGGTCCCAATGGGAGTGAACCAGCCAGCAGACCTGTCCAACCCGGTGTGGCAGGATTTCTTCCTTTTAAGTTCCGTTATTGTGAAGTTAGTTCCTTTCTTCACCACAGCCACAGCATAGTAGCTGGTGACCGAATCTGTAAGGGAGGGAGGAGGGAAAGCAAGCAAGCATTGGAACAAAGGAACACAAAAACAGAAATGGAAGTCGCTTACCGTCCCTTCCAGTTCACACAATTGTTTTCTCCCATGTCACACAAATCCTGGGCACAGGAAGCAAAGTGCAACATTTTCAACCCCATAATAATGTAGCAAGACACCCTACCCCTTTCTCCTGTTTAGTATTAGTGGGTTGCCATGCCAATATCAATCTGATTATAATGGTTGTAATAGACATAATGTTAAATGTTCTACTAATTAGTAAAAAGAAACTGAGTACTTGTGGCACCTTAGAGACTAACAAATTTATTTGAGCATAAGCTTTCGTGAGCTACAGCTCACTTGCATCCGATGAAGTGAGCTGTAGCTCACGAAAGCTTATGCTCAAATAAATTTGTTAGTCTCTAAGGTGCCACAAGTACTCCGTTTCTTTTTGCGGATACAGACTAACACGGCTGCTACTCTGAAACCTACTAATTAGTATTACTAGCATTTGTTAAATGGTCTTGTCTTTGCATTTATTTGATATGTGTGCTGTTGTTAATAGCTCTTACCCTCGTGATAAGTCTTTTTGAGGGCAGTAGAGCTTCTCACATGAGTAAAGATGATTTGTGTAAGTAAGGCTTGCAGGACTGGACTCTAAACTGGGTCTGTTAAAATTCTCTCCATAGACTGTCTGGCAAATATTACATCTATGCAAACGGACTGAGTTCTGGAGGTAGCAGAAACCCACTACTTTGAATTTCCTGACTTTGGTACCTTTTAATTCTCAGCCATAACACTGAGAATTACTCTGTAATGTTGCCTTCAGCCCAAACTCTCTACACAGTATCAGACAGCTGTAGCAGCACAGGAGCCAGCAAAGAGAGCTGTAAACGGGAGTTTCAGTGGGAGTTTGAAAGCAGAGTTTGGTTTGTGGTGCTTGTTTGGGGTTTGTGTTTGCTGTGGGTGGTGGTGTTTTGGTGTGGTTTGTGTTTCCCAGATGAACAGGATTTAGGTGGGAAGGCTATGACAGATACAGAGGCAGCAGTGGGGGTGACCCATGTAGTGGAAGACACAATGAAGATGACTGGATGTTGAAGCTGCGGTATGTACATGATCCTGGAGGGGGCACCTGGTAAGAGTTTTGTCTGCATGAAATGCCGTCTGATAGAGCTGATGGAGGAAAAGATCGGAGGTTTGGAGATGCAGGTGGAAAGTCTGGTTGAGTTTAGAAAGGGGTTTGAGCAGATTATGGAGCAAAGACATGAGGTATCTGAAGGGAAAAGCTCAGACTTGCAGATGGAAGCAGGACTGAGGAATTCTGAGGGGAGACTGCTGGGTGAGGAAAGTGATCAGTGGAAGCATATGACTAAAAGAACTAGGCAGAGGAAAAGACGGGCTAGTGAAGGAGAAATAGAGCTCAAGAATAGGTTTGAGGAGTTGGAAAATGAAGAAGGGGCTCAGCCGCTAGTCACTGAAGGTGGAAGGGCAAGGAAGAAGAGAAGAGCGGCTAGTCCTATAGGAAAAGGGGAAGAGTCAATGGAGACTACACCAAATATGAGCCCCAGGAGGATACAGGATGGGTTGAAGAGAATTACAAGGGAGAATAGGAATGGAAACAACTTGCAGCCAGAGGGAACAGGGGATAGACTGGAGAATAGCACAGTCACCAGGAAAAGGCAGGTCTATGTGATCAGGGACTCTTTATTGAGAAGAATAGACAGGCCTGTAACCAGAGCTGATCCAGAGAATAGAAGGGTGTGCTGTCTTCCAGGTGCTAAGATATGGGATGTAGACCTGAGGTTGAAAAGGATCTGAAAGGGAGCGGGAAAGAATCCCCTAATTATCCTTCATGTGGGAACAAATGATACGGCTAGGTTCTCTCTGGAAAGTATTAAGGGAGACTATGCTAGGCTTGGGAAGACGCTTAAGGAAATCGAGGCTCAGGTGATCTTTAGTGGGATTCTGCCTCTTCCTAGAGAAGGGCAACAAAGGTGTGACAAGATTATGACTATCAACAGATGGCTTAGGCAGTGGTGCTATAAGGAGGGCTTTGAGATGTATGGCCACTGGGAGGCATTCATGAACAGAGGACAGTTCTCTCGGGATGGACTTCATCTGAGTAGGGAAGGAAATAGACTTCTAGGATGGAGGCTGGCACAACTGATTAAGAGAGCTTTAAACTAGGAATTTGGGGGAGATGGTTGGGAGATGTCCAGATAATCTCCATGCCGGATTTTAGCATTGAGAGGGAAGAAAACGAAGTAAGAGAGGATACAGCCGTGGGTAGGAGAATGGACATAAGGAGGAAGGGCAGTGTGGATACCAGTCTATAGGTTATACTGGCTGTAGAATGACGGTGCCTAATCGGGTACAGAATGTGAGCAAGGCCAAACAGCAAAAATTAAGATGTTTGTACACCAATGTGAGGAGCCTAGGTAACAAAATGGAGGAACTAGAGCTACTGGTGCAGGAAGTGAAACCAGATATTATAGGGATAACAGAAACATGGTGGAATAGTAGTCATGACTGGACTATGGGTATTGAAAGGTATGTGCTGTTGAAGAAAGACAGAAATAAAGGTAAAGGTGGTGGAGTAACATTGTATCAATGATGAGGTAGAATGTAAAGAAATAAGAAGCGATGGAATGGATAAGACAGAGTCCATCTGGGCAAAAATTACATTGGGGAAGAAAACTACTAGAGCCTCCCCTGGGATAGTGCTTGGGGTGTGTTATAGACCGCTGGGATCTAATCTGGTTATCATAGAATCATAGAATATCAGGGTTGGAAGGGACCCCAGAAGGTCATCTAGTCCAACCCCCCTGCTCGAAGCAGGACCAATTCCCAGTTAAATCATCCCAGCCAGGGCTTTGTCAAGCCTGACCTTAAAAACCTCTAAGGAAGGAGATTCTACCACCTCCCTAGGTAACGCATTCCAGTGTTTCACCACCCTCTTAGTGAAAAAGTTTTTCCTAATATCCAATCTAAACCTCCCCCACTGCAACTTGAGACCATTACTCCTCGTTCTGTCATCTGCTACCATTGAGAACAGTCTAGAGCCATCCTCTTTGGAACCCCCTTTCAGGTAGTTGAAAGCAGCTATCAAATCCCCCCTCATTCTTCTCTTCTGCAGGCTAAACAATCCCAGCTCCCTCAGCCTCTCCTCATAAGTCATGTGTTCTAGACCCCTAATCATTTTTGTTGCCCTTCGCTGGACTCTCTCCAATTTATCCACATCCTTCTTGTAGTGTGGGGCCCAAAACTGGACACAGTACTCCAGATGAGGCCTCACCAATGTCGAATAGAGGGGAACGATCACGTCCCTCGATCTGCTCGCTATGCCCCTACTTATACATCCCAAAGTTATGGATAGAGCCCTCTTTAATGTTTTTAATGAAGTAAATACTAATGGAAACTGCGTGATCATGGGAGACTTTAACTTCCCAGGTATAGACTGGAGGACAAGTGTTAGTAATAATAATGACAGGTTTCAGAGTAACAGCCGTGTTAGTCTGTATTCGCAAAAAGAAAAGGAGTACTTGTGAGCATGAGCTTTCGTGTCACGAAAGCTCATGCTCAAATAAATTGGTTAGTCTCTATGGTGCCACAAGTACTCCTTTTCTTTTTAGTAATAATAATAGGGCTCAGATTTTCCTAGATGCGATAGCGGATGGATTCTTTCAACAAGTAGTTGCTGAACTGACTAGAGGGGATGCCATTTTAGATTTGGTTTTGGTGAGTAGTGTGGACTTCATAGAAGAAATGGTTGTAGGGCACAATCTTGGTTCAAGTGATCATGAGCTAATTCAGTTCAAACTGAATGGAAGGATTAACAAAAATAAATCTGCAACTAGGTTTTTTGATGTCAAAAGGGCTGACTTTCAAAATTAAGGAAATTAGTTAGGGAAGTGGATTGGACTAAAGAACTTATGGATCTAAAGGCAGAGGAGGCCTGGGATTACTTTTAAATCAAAGCTGCAGAAGCTATCGGAAGCCTGCATCCCAAGAAAGGGGAAAAAATTCATAGGCAGGAGTTGTAGACCAAGCTGGATGAGCAAGCATCTCAGAGAGGTGATTAAGAAAAAGCAGAAAGCATACAGGGAGTGGAAGATGGGAGGGATCAGCAAGGAAAGCTACCTTATCGAGGTCAGAACATGTAGGGATAAAGTGAGACAGGCTAAAAGTCAAGTAGAGTTGGACCTTGCAAAGGGAATTAAAACCAATAGTAAAAGGGTCTATAGCCGTATAAAGAAGAAGAAAACAAAGAAAGAAAGAAGTGGGACCATTAAACACTGAGGATGGAATGGAGGTTAAGGATAATCTAGGCATGGCCCAATATCTAAACAAATACTTTGCCTCAGTCTTTAATAAGGCTAATGAGGATCTTAGGGATAATGGTAGCATGACAAATGGGAATGAGGATATGGAGGTAGATATTACCATATCTGAGGTAGAAGCGAAACTCGAACAGCTTAATGGGACTAAATCGGGGGGCCCAGATAATCTTCATCCAAGAATATTAAAGGAATTGGCACATGAAATTGCAAGCCCATTAGCAAGAATTTTTAATGAATCTGTAAACTCAGGGGTTGTACCATATGACGGGAGAATTGCTAACATAGTTCCTATTTTTAAGAAAGGGGGAAAAAAGTAACTACAGACCTGTTAGTTTGACATCTGTAATATGCAAGGTCTTGGAAAAAATGTTGAAGGAGAAAGTAGTTAAGGACACTGAGGTCAATGGTAAATGGGACAAAATACAACATGGTTTTACAAAAGGTAGATCGTGCCAAACCAACCTGATCTCCTTCTTTGGGAAAGTAACAAATTTTTTAGACAAAGGAAACGCAGTGGATCTAATTTACCTAGATTTCAGTAAGGCGTTTGATACCGTGCCACATGGGGAATTATTAGTTAAATTGGAAAAGATGGGAATCAATATGAAAAGTGAAAGGTGGATAAGGAAATGGTTAACAGGGAGACTACAAAAAGAAAAGGAGTACTTGTGGCACCTTAGAGACTAACAAATTTATTTGAGCATAAGCTTTCGTGAGCTACAGCTCACTTCATCAGCTGCATTCAGGGAGACTACAGCGGGTCCTACTGAAAGGTGAACTGTCAAGCTGGAGGGAAGTTACCAGTTGAGTTCCTCAAGGATCAGTTTTGGGACCAATCTTATTTAATCTTTTTATTACTGACCTCGGCACAAAAAGTGGGAGACTAATAAAGTCTGCGGATGATACAAAGCTGGGAGGTATTGCCAATTTAGAGAGAGACCGGGATATCATACAGGAAGATTTGGATGACCTTGTAAACTGGAGTAATAGTAATAGGATGAAATTTAATAGTGAGAAGTGTAAGGTCATGTATTTAGGGATTAATAACAAGAATTTTAGTTATAAACTGGGGATGCATCAATTAGAAGTAATGGAGGAGGAGAAGGACCTTGGAGTATTGGTTGACCATAGGAAGACTATGAGCCGCCAATGTGATATGGCCGTGAGAAAAGCTAATGTGGTCTTGGGATGCATCAAGCGAGGTATTTCCAGTAGAGATAAGGAGGTTTTAGTACCGTTATACAAGGCACTGGTGAGACCTCACCTGGAATCTTGTGTGCAGTTTGGCCTCCCATGTTTAAGAAGGATGAATTCAAAGTGGAACAGGTACAGAGAAGGGCTACTAGGATGATCCGAGGAATGGAAAACCTGTCTTTTGAAAGGAGACTCAAGGAGCTTGGTTTGTTTAGCCTAACTAAAAGAAGGTTGAGGGGAGATATGATTGCTCTCTATAAATATATCAGAGGGATAAATACCGGAGAGGTAGAGGAATTATTTAAGCTCAGTACCAATGTGGACACAAGAACAAATGGATATAAACTGGTCATTGGAAAGTTTAGACTTGAAATTAGACAAAGGTTTCTAACGATCAGAGGACTGAAGTTTTGGAATAGCCTTCCAAGGGAAGCAGTGGGGGCAAAAGACCTATCTGGCTTTAAGATTAAACTCAATAAGTTTATGGAGGAGATGGTATGATGGGATAATATGATTTTGGCAATTAATTGATCTTTAACTATTCATGGTAAATAGGTGCAATGGCCTGTGATGGGATGTTAGATGGGGTGGGATCTGAGTTACTACAGATATTTCTTTCCTGGGTATCTGGCTGGTGAATCTTGCCCATATACTCAGGGTTCAGCTGATCGCCATATTTGGGTTCGGGAAGGAATTTTCTTCCAGGGCAGATTGGAAGAGGCCCTGGGGTTTTTTTGCCTTCCTCTGTAGCATGGGGCATGGGTCACTTGCTTGAGGATTCTCTGCTCCTTGAAGTCTTTAAACCATGATTTAAGGACTTCAATAGCTCAGACATAGGTGAGAGGTTTTTTCGCAGGAGTGGGTGGGTGAGATTCTGTGGCTTGCGTTGTGCAGGAGGTCAGACTAGATGATCATAATGGTCCCTTCTGACCTTAATATCTATGGAAAAAAAAAAAAACAGCCTGACTTTCCGAACAGAGACCTGTATTATAATAGAAAGAGAAGGCTGGGAGTTTGGGTGGGATCTGGAAAGCAGGAGCAGATGGAGACAGGAATGGAGAAGTACTGTCATTTTCCTTCAAGAATCATCAGTAATGCAGTAGACAGAACTACAGACTGGGGATGCAGACTGAGCGATAGACTTCATTCTGAACAGAATGGGTTTGTATCACAGCTTCCACTGAGGCCCAGCAACTCTGATAGCAGCAGCTTTAACGTTTAGCTTTCTTTTCTGTTTCTTTCCCTCTTCACTGGGCTTGTTCATCCACTGCCCCGTCTGTGTGCTCAGTTCAGCCTGGTCCTCCAAGAAACAATTGACCCTCATGTTGCTAGAGAGACAAGGCAGGTGAGGTAATATCTTTTATTGGACCAACTTCTGTTGGGGGAAGGGACAAGCTTTTGAGCTACACACACCTGAAGAATAGCTCTGCATAGCTCGAAAGCTTGTCTCTCTCACCAACAGAAATTGGTCCAATAAAAGATATTCCCTCACTCACCTTGGGTGTCTAATATCTTTGGACCACCATGACTACCCCAACACTACAAAGTTTGTGTTGTTGCCATTCTTTAACCTCTGTTACTGCAGCTGACTCGTAGCTTGGGTCTCATGTGCCTGGATTAGCCCAGTTATTTTCCAGTTTTGTAAAAGGTCCCTGAAAGCGGAAAACCTTTGAGGTTTGCTCAGCTTAGTCCCCCTGCTGTGTTTTGTCAGGGGCCGTTAGTTACTGAGGCAAATTAACCTTACAAAACTCTTCAGACACACTATTGCATTAGCCTTCCCCAGCCATTGCAACACCACTGCAGTGAGCAGTAAACTTCCACTGAGGGAACAGCAATAGCAGCACACTGGATTTACTCCAGTTCTGTTGAGAAAGAGTTACTGCCCTTGTGATCATAGAATATCCGGGTTGGAAGGGACCTCAGGAGGTCATCTAGTCCAACCCCCTGCTCAAAGCAGGATCAATCCCCAACTAAATCACCCCAGCCAGGGCTTTGGCAAGCCTGACCTTAAAAACTTTAAAGGAAGGAAATTCAACCACCTCCCTAGATACTGCCACATGCAGTGGGAGTAAGAACTGTTTCTATAGACTGGTCTGCTCCTCCTCTGTGATCCGCTGGGGAGCCAAATTTCAGCTGCCCAATGTAAATGATATAGAGGAGCTGTGTGGAGAGGAAAGGTTGCTCTGGGATAGAAACCCCACCACTACCTCCTGTAGCCTGCTCTATCCCCTTCAGGGTAGCAACGCACGAGCTAAGCTCTGCATGAACAGCCATGGAGAGAGACGTCAGGGAAAAGCTACTGATCACAGCACACTTCCCGCATACAGCCAAGTGCATCATAGGTTGCTGCTGCTCAGAGCTTTCAGGTACCACAAAGGGGGCTTGTGAGCATGGCTGGTGAGGGGAAATGCCATGCCGGCTCAGCAGCGATAGACACCTCACTTGCTGGTGTTGCGGAGGACATGTGAAAATGACAATGTCACCTGTAATAACATGTAACTGGTTGCTTTAGCATTGCTCCCCAGTCTGCAGGTAAAATTACCCTAGCACCTTGGGTCACTGGGAAGGAATGAAGCAAGAACCAGAAGGTTCATGGAAGTGGAAAAACCCCTCAAACCAATCAGAAATCAAGAGGATTAGGAAAGGCCTGGTCTGATTGTGGGGGAAGGGGAGGAGATCAGGGTGAGTGGAGTGATAGAACTAAAGCTGATGGCTCCAAAGGAGAGTTTGATCACCTGGACAGCTAGGAAAATAAGGCAGGGAGCAGGAGTACAGATCATTGCTGCTTTCCACCGGGACACTTTGGTCCCGATTCTCAGCTTGTGTAAATGGGCACAGCTGTGTTGAGGTCACTGGCTGTGGATCAGTCCTCATGCATACCAGCTAAGGCCCTGGCCCTTGGTCTGTGGCCAGCTCTGAAGAAGTACATAATCTCAGAGTTAGCACACTGACTTGCCCAGGGGTTTGTGCCTTCCCAGTTTGCCTTAGTAGTATGGTGTTACTAATGTGCTGACAGCTAGCACCGTGGTGGTCAAAGTTCCACAACTTTATGGTCAATAACAGTGTCCTCCATGCAAATGTACCGTTTCCTGTGCCATAGACCTCAGCCACAACAGGCTTCAGATTATATGGGGCAAGGTGTGCTTCGAAAATGTGTCCACCATCCAGACTAATGGCATCTGCTTCATTCACCTGAAACACAAAAGGGTTACATCAGTTGTGGGCACATGCATCAGCAGTGCTAGAAAACACTGAGCGTTAATTAACAGAGCCTCTCTTTGGGGTCCTTCCTGGCTGGGGTGCTGCTGTAGCAATGGAGCCAGGCAATGACGGAAGGAAATCAGTGACTTAAAGAGGATAGTGAAGCTTTCATCCCAGATTAGGCAAATGGAACCCATCAGGGCAAGTTGTTTCTCCCAGCCCCAGGCCTGATACATTGCTGGCAACCTACCGCAATGGCTTTAATGCAGTCAAGGTGAGTTGTTTTCTTCACACAGTCTAATGAAGGGGTTGAGGACATTTTCGTCTTCAGTTCCATACATTTTCTCTGCTCTGCATCAGATATTGTGCACCATCGGATGGGACTTTGGGCTGGGCGGTCAGCAAGACAGAGCACTGTGGAGAGAGCAAAAGAGGACTAAGAGGTTGTTTCATGAACCTCAGACCTAGATGAAAGAACTAGCATCCCTCCCTACAGACATAGGTCTCCCATGAGACCCATGGGTCTCTCCTTCCCTGCCCGCTCCCAATAGCGGGACCCCAGTGCCTAGGGGCACTGTTTACTGGTTTCTTAGATCTAGATTCAAGTGGATACAAAGGGCTAAATTCACCCCTGGTGTAACCACAGTGACCTTAGTGGAGTTACTGCACAGATGGATTTGGCCCAAAGTGTAGGGGGTGTGATATTTTTATATTCCAGCTCTCACTAATTGGCCGCCTGAGATTCAAATCACCAGGAGATTTCTACTAAAGCTCCTTGCCCCAGCCCAAATGCAGGATGATTCCTAGGGTTTGTGCTCCTAGGGGACAGTCATTCCTCTTTCGAGGAAGATGAAGAAATAAGAGCAAATGCAACCTTCTGTTACCCTGTTGCAATTCCAGCATAACTGACTTCTGTGGAGTCACTCCAGATTTGTGGTGTAACTGAGAGCAGGACTTGGCCCACAAACTGAAATCAGGGTGAGCAGGGTAAACGTCAGGGCTTGAATAAACACCTTATTCCAGGTTCCTCCTCTATGACAGAGAGCTCTCCAAATTTACATGTGTTTCTCTGCCAGGGAACTACTCTCCCAGTTTTCCTTCATTCCTTAGGAGACATGCTCTACCCTAATGTCCTGAGGTCACTCCTGACGAGATGTGCAGAAGGGGAGCTCCTACCATACAGACTTTAAGGTATATAGCCGGGCAGCTCCACTGTCATGGACTTCCTAGTCTGCGGGGTGGGAGCTGCTCTCCTGCGCAGGCTCTCCTGCTCTCCAGTCTGCCTGTCCTGTGCACCTTAGGGAGTGTCCAGGAGGAGGATTCCTACCCTGCAGACCCCAAAGAAGTGCGCACAATGAGAGCTCTGCAGCTGCAGGCCTCTCATGCTGCAAGGGCAAACTGCAGTGGAAGGCTGACCAACTTGAGTTCCTGACAGTGTCAATGGAAGTGGAAACACAGCATGTTCTCTGTTACAGACTCACCACAAACCTGCAAGTTCCCAGACAAAACAGTTTGTGAGAGGGAAGTGAAGGCTGTTGCCATCACTTCTCTGGAACGCCCCCAGAAGACACCCTCACAAAAGACAACACACAGGAACACATTCTCTGACCTGGCCAAACTGCACTCAGTACAGGACCGGACATGGGGGTGAGAAAAGGTGACTTGATGTCTCTTTTCCCCAGCTGATCCTGGGGCTGACCAGGGTCCAGTCCTTGGTGTAAGCTAGAGAAGCCCAAAGGGCTATTCCCACGGGTGGGGATTGCTGGAGCTCAGACACACCCTAGTTACACCCATGTCCCTTGGCATGCCCCTTGCCCCAGATATGGGGAGAGGTGGAATCACCCGAAGCATCTCCTCACATCAGGAGGATTCTCTGGTGGCCAGCTAAGTCAGCTTTCCTCTGCTGTGTGTGTCACTGGAGCTAAACCAAGCAGCTGTAGTGAGGCTCAAGATCTGCCCAGCACTTCCACCAGCCTACACACTGGAGAATTTGGAAATTGGCTGTTAAGATATGCAGCCAGTCTCCCTCTGCCATCCCTCCCTACGCAATCACTCACAAGCCCACCATCCCACATCACCCACCTATTGGTAACTCTGTCCACCCTTGGGAATCAGTGGTAAATACAAATCTGCTGTGTAAAGTTTAGTTCCAATTTCACGGGCCAGGTAGGATTTTTGTGCCATTGGAAAAGGAAGACAGGTTGAAGATACAGCAGTGCACTGAATAGTTTAACTGTTAGTAAAGATTGAATTGTTGGGAAAAGCCAAGAAAGCGGTTACATGCAGGGTGACATTACAGGCTTGTGTAGGATAATGGAATATGCTGAGCCTGTGCATTGTGGAATCTAAGGTAATGTTTGAAAGCACGTGGCTATTACTTACTGAATAGTTGTGTATTAGGTACCATCATCACCATGTAGGAATGCAGGGCTCTGAATGCAGGTGTTGGTGTGTAGTCATGCTTTTCTGCTTGTTTACATTATCATGGGCAAAAATGAGGTTGAATGAGGGTGGAAGCTGGTTGGGGTATAAAAGGGGCTCATCTAAACCTCATTAAAGCCAATGGAAAGAATCCCTCTGACTTCACAGAGCTTTGCATTAGGTCCCACATGAAGAGTATTGAACTGCTAAAGTCTAAGCTTTCTGTTTCGGAAAATGCATGTGGTTTCTTTTCCACAAGGTTTCTTTCAGTGGCTTGTTACAGAGGGGTAAAAATACCTTTGCACTCTTATCTCTTATTCACCATGTTTTTTGTTTGGGAATATATGAATAGATATAAGATATAAGGATAGATAACTTAAGCCCCAGTACTGCAAACGTGTCCTTGCTTCACTGCATGCACGAGTTGTTCCATTGACAACTATTCATATACATAAAGTTACACATGCACTTAAGCATTTGCAGGATCAGGGCCTTAAGAAGGGCGGACAGAACATTATAAACAGATGCTCTTCTTCTGCTGATGGAGAGTTTGGATCAGTCGCAGTGTTGTGGGTGGTGATTATTTAGCTAACATTAGTGTCCAGAGGCCCGAATTGGGATTGGGGGGTCCCAATTATGATAGATTCATAGGAGAAGAGGACCCTTCATTTAAGACGAGAAGCATTAAGGGAACGTAACAAACACCAGGTGGGAAGAGGACAAGGGGAACAGTAATAAGATTATGTGGTCACACAGGCCAGCAATGTGTGCACAACTTGCCTGTGCCAAATTACTGCAAAATAGAATGTTTGTATAAATAATCAGTGCCTGCTTCCATTTGTTTTACCTGTAAAACTCTGCCATTGTCTGTGTGCTTTTTCTGTTTGTTTCTAATTGTTGTCCCGCTCCCAGCTTCTATTTTCAAATCTCTACTTTTACTGATTGGTTTAAAAAAATCTCTGCCTGTTTTTCTTTTTATAGTTCTATTTCTAAAATGTCTTCCCCCTGCTGCCTCCCATTTAAGTCAAGGGTCCCACGATCAGGCTAAGAGAGTAATGCTGCCAGGGAGGTGGCCTCATTATCAGCACATAGAGGGGTCTGGGCAGGAGAGGAGAGAGACAGAGAGACTGATTTGTCATGAGCGCAGCCAGCCTTTTGCACAAAGGAATCCAGGAGCCTGAAAGAGCAGGGGCTCCAAAGGCAGAGTACAGACACATCTAGTGGAAGGAGACTTGTGGGCCTTTCTGGGCCCAGGAGAAGAAAGAGAGGTGCTCCTCACAGCCTCATCTTGCTGAGCAGGGCTGGGGTAGAAGAGAAGGGGTACAGTCATTGGTGGCACTAGACCATTGGGGAAACTTCTTTGAGATAACCCCAAGCAATGCAGGGTATTGTGGGGAGAGCCAAGCCCTGGACTCTCAGGCAAGGTCGGGGGGGGGGGGGGGGTTTGAAGGGGCATGTCCCTTTACAAGAAGGGCGTCCAAAGTTGAGCTGCAGGGACACCCCCCCCCCGCCCCCAGAGAAGAATATGGGACAGGTTAGAAAGACAGGAGCCTACAGGTTCTGCAGTAATTTTTTTGTAACTTTCACCTTAAAGATTCTTTGCTTAATATTATTTTAAGAAGCTTCTCTAAATACATGTACATCCTCTGTAGGGAAGGCTTTCAGTGACTCTCTCCTACACCAGTGCTCCACCGGGGGGACATACCTCCACCCATACCTGCAGCAGGAGCTCCGTATAAGGAGCAAACCTGAAACCGCAGCCTGTCCCTTCAGACTGTTTTAGGGCCTGATCCAAAGCTCATTGAAGTCAATGGAAAAACTCCTGTGGTTGTCACTGGGCTTTGGATCAGGCCCTTAGCAAAATAGGAATGGTGGTAGTTACTGTAATTAGTATTAAATTGCTATCTCCGGGCTGCAAGATCCGTGGCAAACAAGTGACACAGTCCAGCACCCAGCAGCTGTTTTCCCTTTGGTTTCTGTCCTGCACAGTTCAGTGACTGTTGGCGTTTACTGTGCACTGCAATTAAACTGGCTCCCTTATGCAACGTCCTCTCAGTCTCTGGCTAGTGCAGGGGCTGCTGAGAATGTCAGTGACACCCACACCTCGAAACTGCTGCTCTGCAGGCACTTACCCAACATCCCCAAGGACAGCGTGGCATGGAGAGCGAACTTCATCCTTCTCTCCTGGGCTTGGCAGCCAGGTCTTGCAGGAGCTTTACTCAGAGACTGTCCCCTCTGAGTCTGTGATGGCTCCTAGGCTACTCTTTGCCTTTTTATAGAGGGACAGGGCTCGCTGTGTTAGCAGAAGCAATGACTGGCAGTGTTTGTCCTTGTTTCCCAATAGCTCCTCAATTTCCTCACCCCGCCCCCCTGCCCCATTCCAGTCAGACCATTTTCAGGCAGCATTTCACTTTGGCACTGAATCACATGCAGGCATGAGTGAGAGCAAGGCAGGTGCATGTTGTTCACCCAAGGGATTTAAAATGGGAAAGTCCCACTTTGTGTCATTTCAATTTCTGCTTGGCTGAAATACAGTGGGAAGGGCTATTTTTTTTGTTCCAGCCACCCCCTGCCTTACAAAGGCTAATCTCAGAGAGCCACTGTGAGAATCAAATCCAATCTAGACTATTTAGTCTTCTTTCTCATTAACTATTGCCTTTCCTTCTCACCGAGGAGTCTTTGCCCGTCCTGTATGCCAGGCCTTGGCAATTGGGACATTAGTCAGTGGCTCCCAGAACACCTGATACCATAACTGTAATGCAGGGAGAGGAGTCAGTAAGAGGAACCTTGCAATCACAGAGCATGTTCCATCCAGAAGGAATGAATCCAAAATGCTTTACTATCCCGCTGAGTGACTCACTTCCTTTGGGACATCCCTGAGCTTTCCTCGCTACACCCCTCCCTCATCAGGGCCACCTGCTCTGGCGGCAATGCTGGCTCTGCGTTCTCCTGAAAGCCCCTTGTGCCTTTTAAAAGGACTTTTGCTCTGCAGTTGGGATTCTCCAGCGGGAAGCTGACAGAGCGCGGAGTGAACTGACCAGAGTATATCGAGGAACACAGCCTCTGGAGCGAAGCGTTGGAGCTAGCAGTGCACAGCCACAGTGGTCTCACCACATCCTCTCCCTGCTCCCTCTAACAACTGCTCCTTCCTGTGCCTCCTCTGCCAGGCCACCGGTTCAGGTGGTTGAGACCACTCATAGCTCTTACAGTCACTGAGTCTCCTCTCCGACCCACCTGGCTCTCACCTCTCCAAACTACACAAGCGGCAGCTAAAGTGTTCTTCCCCCCACCATCCCTCCAGTGGTGCCAGCTCCACCACCCCCACCCTCAGGTTCCTCCATGGGCTGCCTGGGTCTTTCCGCGTTAAGGCCCAGATTCAGCACAGCACTTAAGCACATCCTTGACTTTAAGGATGTTCTTGACACCCATTGAAATCAGCTCATTCTTCTCCTGGAGGAGCTATTCCATTGCCCAGAGCCCTCTGCCTAGGCCACGTGATTCAATCTAGCAATAGCCACAGGTTCCAGAAGTTGGGAACATTCCATTCTGAGCAGGTGGTTTTGGCAAATTTTAATCTACAGCCTCTCGACTCTCCCAAAAGAAAGACCCGCCATCCTCTATACACAGCGTTCCTTCCCCAGCCCAATGCACCAGATAGCCACTTTCTCCATCCAAATCCCTCCTGCTCACTCCATTCTTCCATGAGGCCCACAGACACTAACCCACTTCAGTATACTGCCGTCCCACCCTAATGCATAGAAAACAACAGCAAGGACTGGAGCATAACTATGCTGAGGTATCACTGTTCTTTAGGCCTCCCAGTACATTCCTGTACATTCTTCGATTGGCCCTTGGATGCTCACGCATTTCTTTATTTGTGTATCAAGCAGCACCCAGCACTCGGTCTGGGATTAAAAAATAAGGATGAAATTCTCCCCTGTGCTAAACCAGGCCTAGCCACCACTAGAACCCCTCAGTGATGCTTTGTGCTGGCCTTCTGTACAGGGGTGAATTTCACCCTAAGGGAATTAGTAAAGTACAGTGAAAATTCAGTCAGGGACCGCCAAGAGGGAGGGGTTCAGGAGCTGCCACAATCTGCAGCAACCACCGTTCTCCCCAGGCCAGCCCAGTTCCCCAGAGGTTACTGTCCAAGATGCTGGCATTCCAAGCCTGGAGTTCCTAACACCACCAATATCTGGCTACATCAGAAATTACTTTAAATTCTCCCACTTGTAGGCATGGCATGGGACAAGGACGTGTATTTCAGAGGGGTTCCCCCATCACCCCACCAGCATGGGATTGTTACATTGCATGGCCTTTAACAACTTCTTTTGGAACAGGCATCTGAACATAGACTAAAGGGGCTGGTTGAGCAAATAAAGGGTGGAAGTATGTGGACTTGTTACATTCCAGAAGGTGAGAGGTTTAGCATGAGAGGATAACCACTGCAGACGAGTTGTTTACCACTTACTGGCTGAATCAGAGGGAGCTGGTGAGAAGCTCCTGTCTGGAAATAATCAGGGGCTATTGAGATCCCATGACCTACCAAAACTGGTGATTGTGCCATCTCTCATTCCACAGGTTTCAGAGTAACAGCCGTGTTAGTCTGTATTCGCAAAAAGAAAAGGAGTACTTGTGGCACCTTAGAGACTAACCAATTTATTTGAGCATGAGCTTTCGTGAGCTACAGCTCACTTCATCGGATGCACTCATTCCACAGTGACCATATCCTAATGTGCTCAAATGGGACCTTATATATTCCTCATTTAAAGAACTCCAGATCCTCAAGGCTCGCTTTTTCATAATGCTTTAAAGCAACGAGAGACGTTCATCCAGTCATTTCCTCTGGCTTCACATCAACAGTTGCCAAGTGTCTTATTGCAGTTAGATTGTGGGGGTTGCAAATATCCTTTCTGCTGCAACTGATTTCTTCTTCTTTCCACTGAGCAAGTATTGCTTTCTCGCTCTGTAGTTCTGATGAACCTTGAGATGAACATGGCATTGTGTGCTCCAGACTTGGAGACAATGTCAGCACAGATCAGGAAAGCAGTGTTTGTTGTTCCCTGGTAGAGGGAGAACAAAACTTTTGCTCCTATAAAAATAATGCCCCTGGAATTCTTGGTGATGAGATAGTTGATTTAAAAAGAGACCCAGATGTTTAGATTCTGGAGAACTTTCCCCACCAAATGGAAAAAACATTTTACAGTGGGCCACATTTGAAGTGTTAAGAATGCCCTAGTCAATGGAGCTGACAGAACCCAAGGGAAAAGCCCTGGATGCTGGGGCAGGGTATTGGCGATTGCGGGGCGTTCACCTGGGAAACATCTTCTCCTGGAGCTCAGGATGAGCATGTGTCTTGCCTCTTTTGCAGGTCAGTGCAAGCCATACCATGCTGCAGAGGCCTTGCCCAAATGAAGATACATACAGAGGGGCTTAGCTAGGGTGACCAAATGTCCTGATTTTATAGGGACAGTCCCAATTTGGGGGGCTTTTTCTTATATAGACACCTATTACCCCCCCCCCCGTCCCGATTTTTCATACTTGCCCTCTGGTGAGCCTAGACTTAGCATCTCCCAAATCCCCTTGAGATCCCCCACCTCACATGCTCCTGAGAAATACAACCCTGTGGAAGTAGAGATGGGCCATACTCACTGACAGGATATCTTTTAATGTGTGATACTACAGCAACAAGCACATTAGGCCTGGGGGAGGGGAAGAAGGTGTAGGCTAGATTAAATGGACAGAGATAGCTAGATTAGATGAAAGACAGAAAGAAGTAGTGACTGAGCAATGAAAGGGTTAGCTAGCTGATGCCAACCTGTTTTTAAAAAACAATTGATAAAGGGACTACTCTCTTCAAACAGTATCATCCAACTGAACATCTATGCTTCTCAGGTGGATTAAGGCATCTGGTGTTCTTCTTCATGCCATACAATGTAGTAGAGTGTGTGAGAACCTGATGTAAGCTATGCATTTTCTGTGGTGGTTGTTTTTGTTTTACATACAGCATCCGCACTACTCCAAAAGAAACCCTGAAGCAGGGATTTGTCTTGATGACTGCTGGGCAGTCAGCAGGGCTGTAAATCTACTTTGCACTAGCCATATGGACCCTGCTAATTCCCTAGTAGTGCACTTTGATCTATTCCCATTTCAAAGTGGAGTAGATCAAAGTACACTAATGAACTTGTAGTGTGCCATTTTCCTTTTTTTTTTTTTAATTTCCCAGGAATTTATCAATATTTCTCAAAAAAATTAAAAATGGGTGAAAATCAGTGTAAAAAATTAACTTCACAGCTTCCCAGGTATACATCAGGATTAATAGGGGGAATGGGACAGAAAAAAAGCAACAAATAGAGAAAAAAGAAAGCTTGTTGAAATCATTATCTCTAATCCCCATTACAAAACAAACAAAAATCAGTTTCCTGTTGGCGACTTGGGCAGTTGCGCTTCCTATCACGGGGTTCAGTGTGAATTCCCAAAGGCCTGTGCAGCACAAGCTCACAGCGGTCCTTGAAAAGTGTCTTTTCCATGCTGGCTCAGAAAAGGCTTCCTCCAGCAACCAGAAAATGGGTTTCTAGCCCCTGAAGGATGCCAAAGAGTAAACAAGAACCAGCACTTCAACAGTACTCCCCCATCCTAAAATCATCATGTCTCCTGTCACAGAGTGGGGACACAGGGACTGGTGCCAGGAGAGAGCAGATCCGGTCACAGAGATGCAGACCCGCCAGCAGCAGGTCCTGTTCCTGGCCTGGGGGCAGGAAGGGGCTCTGTCTGGTGGGAGAAGCAGATGGAGCTCAGTGCCATGGGACACCGCTCCAGACAGTGACAGAAGCCCTGGCCCAGCTACTCACAGGGGGAGGGGTACATGGCACTCATGGCAGGGGCAGGAAGAGGAGGTGCCCCATGGGGGGAAAGGGGCAGGGGGTACCTGGCACTGGAGAGGACAGTGGGAAGCAGATGGGCTTGCATCCCCCAAGGCAGCGCTGAAGGGATGGAGTTGGGGGGGGCCCAGTGCCCCTGCTCCCTGCATTCTGTCACTGCAGTGGTCTCAGCAGGTTCCTTGCCCAGCTCACTCCCCCACTGCACAGCTGCAGCAGCCAGGGCCAATCAGAGCTGGGGCCAGGAGGGCCATTTGGCCTGGGCCTCAAGCTCAAAGGGGGCCTCAGATTTAGACACTTGTTAAATTTTTTGGCTTTTGATAAGTTTCACAATTTGTTTTTATGCGCATCCCTATCAGACCAAAATGAGACACACTCTTTCAGCTTAGAGCTGCAAATTTAAGCA